ACGGAACGCTGACGATGCCGGTTCAAGTCCTGCCCGAGTCGAAATTTTTTTCAATTTATTTTCGATTTTTAAATAATGCTATACTTAGCAAACAACAGAACTAGCTTCCGACAACTGCCTTGTCTTAAGCGGAACGAGAAATAGGCTCAGATTGACATCCACAATACGTGTATTGTGTCTAATCCCTGAGATAACTGGCAAAAAATGACAATACTTTGCAGCCCATTTTTGCAAACTTCGAAAGTAGGACATCGTTATTCACGAAATCGAAGGCCCTTTTATAGTCGAAGTAAGCTGCATCCACCTGAACCCCTGAGTCCAAATAAGAAATCAGGTACGTAGATGCATTTAACAAGTTGCTTTTTGTACTCCGCATTGGCCAAAACTATGCTGCGAGTTAGTTAGGCACGTTTCTGTTTGTTCATGCATACTTAGTTAGAGGGCTGATTCGACCACTGGATGATAAAACTAGAACGGGCCATCGCCGGAAAATCTATCCATTCGATAGATATTCCGGCTAGAATGTAGAAATGGCTCGACCAAACCTAACCTACAGTCGCGTAACGACAAAGGCAGAATTGTATCTACCCATAAGAAGTATTTTTTTTGTACCGCACGCGTGCAACTTTTCTTGAGCCAGCGACAGTTCGGCTACGTGAACACGAGAACTACCGCCGCCGCGGCCGTTCGCTTTCACCGTTTTGTCAACAGCCAGTCTTGCCGGTTCACTACGGAGAATGGAAATATTTTGCAACTTTGTTCACACTCGCACGAATCGTTTAAAAAAATTAAGCTTTTTAATTAATTTGTTTTGAATTCATCATTCGTATATCCGCAATGTCTTATTTAGACTAGCCTTAACTCGCTTTCGACAATTTTCAAACGCGTTTTAATCCGTCTCCGATCGACTTAATTTATACTGTCTGTTGTACAACTTAGCTTTAAGCATTATGACCCTAATAAATCGGTCGTATACTAAATTTATGATATTTCGCGTTAAACTTTCTGAGCATATGCTTATCTTAATTCAAAATATAACACTGCGAGGACGTCCACCGGGTGTCAAACGCCACTCCAATCGACGAGACTCACAAAGTGATGTAATGGAACAAAATCTGCTTTATAAAAGTCCAAGCTAATTTGATCTTACCTGTAGTTATGCTACTTTAAAGGTAATTTAAAACGTTTGTTTAAATTCATTTGATCCTCGTACGGCTCGATCATAAGCAGCGGGTGATACTCGTCAACCTTCTCCTTCACCTACACTTTATTCCACAAATAACGACGAACACAACACAATCTAGTTTACATTACAATTGAAAATCTTATCTCATCTAGCTAAAACCCTTATATTTTAAATACAGGCGTTCTATGAAACTTAAACATAACACATATTAATTTTAACCGATTCTAGGGGGTAGATAAAGCAACAATAACAATAATTTGTCATTAGAGTCAACAGTGTACCTTCTACTTCCATTCTTTAAAGCTACGGCTTGTGTAATCCATTACTGAAAAATGTAAAACTTTCAAGTAATTGTTATTTAAGTTTTACGTTGTTTAATAAACACGAAATCGTATATACATTGAAAACGAATCTTACAAACATTGTAAAAATCATCAACGCAATAACGACACGGTTCTCTATTGGCTGTGGTGACTTCCGTTCGTTGTAATCAAAATATTATATTATATGAATATTCTTATAACATATTTGCTCGTAAAGTGAATGTAATTACACCAATTTCAATATCGTAATGTATCTCATTACGTACTTGTGCGATAATGTAATGTGTATTTTTTTCTTAGCAAAGAGGTTTTATGTTAAAAAACTGGTCAATATTTTATGAATAAAATTAACTTTGGGAAATAAAATATAATAAATAAACATTTAATTCTTTAATTTTATTAATTTTGACAATAAATTACAACCAATCTATAACAAAAACACAAAAATATTAATTTACTTTATTAGTAATACTGGCTGTTTTTGTACCATTTGCCTAAAAAAAAACGTTGATGCGCGCGCATCGCATATTTGTGGACAAGTAAAAATTTGTATAACTGCTTTAACAATTAATTAAAGATTTATTCGTTTAACTAAGTTTTATTAATTTCCTCGTAAATATGTTATAACACGTCGTATGACATACTTGCGCTTTGAAAATTACAGCCTCTGCTTTCTTATAGCCCTCGCCGATGACTCGGGCTAGTAATATCGCCTCGGCTGTAATTTTTAACTTACTGCACTTATATCATAATGTACTATTATACCGTGGGTCTACGAAGATACGCGGCCACACATGTCATCGCAGCATAATATCTTTCCCAAGGATGTCTCCTAGCCGGTGATTTAGCTTGTAGTCCCTATGTAAGTTAGTCTTAAGCAAAACTTGCATGCGCGTTAATATTAATTTATCAGCAAATCATTGTTTTTCGGGCTGTTCCGTGCCGTCCGCTCGTAATGGGGAAACGTCAGAATCTCCTCCTAGTCCAACACCCGACGACGAAAAACAACGATATACTGAACGATGGCCGTGAAAGCCTTACACAATTTAATAAGTAATCATCCATCATATTTACTACTATCTCTTAATTTGTTTGTTTTTTAACAAATAAATAAAACTTAATTAAACCGTTATCGCAGCGACAGGCTCTCCAATTAAAATGCGAAGAATTTTCAGCGACAGGCAATATTAAACGCCTGTCATGCGTCACCTACTTGGCTAAGTACTTTAATTATTTGTTTGAAAATAAAGTTTGATAGATGAGATTTTTACCATTCAAACTATAATTCAAGCGTTTATTAACTTATATTTATTTTGCCATTTTTGGTAATTGTAAAAATATTGTTACTCACTCATTTTTTTTAAATTAGCGATGGGCAGATTCAGCGTCGTATAATATATTTGTGCTTTAATAGTTACTTAAGTAAGAGTTACCAAATTATGTATATGTTCAGTTACGTTTTAGTTATTTACAGTATATGTACTTATATTAATAATTAATAAATAAATGTCAGACCTACCATAGATTTGTGTTTACTTGTTACTTCAACACACGAATCCACTGATTATCATGAATGGTGATGATAGCCTATATTGTTTATATTTAAAAAAACAAAAGTCGAGACATATATTAATGTTATAATACAGCCTAACTTCACGTCTGCCCCGTTAGGGTACAGAAAGCTTTTACCTAAGTTTGTATTGCCGCAAAGGCACTATACCCAGGTGTTGGATAACTTTTTGTTACAAAATTTTCAATATCCACTCTGCCTGATGAAATGCCCGTATGCCAGAGGCGTTGAATTGCTGGTGTTTTTATACAAATAAAGTTCTTTGTAAAAATATTTAATTGCCCTCGTAACCTCCTGCTGTTTTCAAATAAATATGTTTTTTCTTTTGTTAGGTTAAACTTGTTGTGAAAATCGTCCATTCATATGGTAGATATACTTATTTAAATAGTATCATACTGACGTAAAATTTACATCAACCTTAGTGGAGATGTAAATTTTACTATTTGTGTATGAAATAGCAATAATTTTTATTGCTATACGTAACAAGTAAAATAATGAATAATCAAATCGCATAAATAATGTAATCATGAGTCGTGGGTTCGATCTCCACCGGGTCTAACATGTTTCTGAAACACGTTGGACTTCATCTGAAAATCTGAATATCAAATTGGTGGTAGGAATATTAAAATTCCTTCCGATTCACGAACCACCGTCCACGAATGAAGTTTAACCATGTTTGGATTCAATCTGGGGATTTCCGAATATCCAAAGCCTAAACAGGTAGTCACTGCATCTTGTCAAGATCTTATATGGTTGAAGTATTCCACCTTCCATTAACCCCACGCTTCTCTGTCCTACTCTATCATAAAAAGATCAGTTATATTTTGTTACTAATACACATTACACATCCGCAATGACCATGAAAATGCTTGTTGCATTTTAATAAATCATAATCACGACGAGATAACTTTTTAATTATGACCAAGCCAGATAGCAGGTGGAGGTAAGAGCTGCAAAATGCATTCTAGAAGAAAGAGGGGGTTACAAGAAGGGAGGCGGGAGTTTTATTGATCTCCGCCCGTCGCGTCAAGCTGTGACCGAATGTGACCCCCAGTAACATTACCTGTCCTTCACTTATCTTTCAATCTTCATCGATAACCCGATATTTAACCAGATAATATGATAATTTAACCATATAAAACTAAAAAACTTATTTATTGTGTATAAACGTTTTACTCAATATCTTTTATCTTTTTAACATGAAGAGCATTTTAATAACAAAAATATGATTTTGTAACTAACGAATAATTTTAACATCAATATTCATAATCACCAATAATTATTCCAGGTACATTAATATTGTTAGTTACTGGTGTTCGAATTTATTTTATTTAGATATTTTTTCGATGATTATTTGATATAAAAAAAGTTAAGATTTTTATGTACTTTAGAATTATCTTTTGCTTATACAAGGCTTTGAGCTTTTAAGTCCGCTTCCAGACATACTTAATGTCCTGCCATGACCTATGTTGTGATTATGAACGTGCCCTTACTTTCGTACATTTACCAAGTCGCAGTTAAACGAGTCAGTCGTTTAACACGCTGGCATCGCGATAGTGGTGATAGAAATATTCTCGTAAACGGAGCAATGATAAAATTGTGTGAGAATAAAATTTTAAATTAGTTTATTTACATTTATTTGGCGAAGTTCTAAATCAAATAATTTAAAAGTGTTTTTTTTTTTTAGTAAAATCCCGTGTTGTATATTTCTGGCAATCATTTAGACTAATGTCAAATTAACAATTAAATGTCACAATTCAGCTTGTCAATCATAAAATTTTTCAGTTGCAGATAAATTCCGAGCCGTATAGTTCGTAGATGTTAGACGTTTTGTTTTTAATCTAAAATAATATGAACATCGGAGTAATTGTGGGCAGAAAACGTTATTAGCCGTCTTAAACGATAAGAGCGTAATAGCATAATGGAGGACGGTATAAACAAACCGTATAAAATATGTGATGTGAATCGTGAAAAAAAGAAAGGAATTGTCGCTTCGACTTTGGAGGACTTGTTGTCTAAAGTACCAGAAAAACTTGGTCTGCCGGCAGAAAATTTAACTGTTGTGCTAGAATGTGACGGTACTGAAGTAGATGACGAGGAATACTTCTCAACGTTAGATCCTGATACTTCTCTGATGATTTTACACGGATCGGAGAAATGGGCACCAAATATGCCAAAATGTCAAGTATCTTTAGATCAGACGGATGATATTACACTTGGAGATAAAACCCAAGTTGCCAATCTGGTTGGAAGGCTACAACATAATTTATGTCACATTTCTCTACTAGGCGGTCAGGATTTGGAACTTTTGTCTGATATGGATCCCGACAGTTTAGCTGATATTGTTACTGACAGGGACAACAGAATAATTCTAGAACACATTAAAGAAGCCTCTGGAAGGTATTAAACATGACTAAACTTTTTTAAGCTTTTAAGTGTTTGCCAAAATTGAATATTTATAGATTTATTAAATGGCATCTATATTTTTAATTCTTATCTCGTACATTATTAAGTATTTCTATTAAGTAATTAATCATTTATATTATTACAGAATCCTTTTGGAAAAAAGACAAGCACAAGATGCCATGGAATTATTAAAGTTATATCATCAGAGTGTTGCAAATGGCACTGAGGATGTCTCACCTCCAAGCCAGGAACGTGTTTAAATATATTACTGTATAGCCTTACCCTTACTTTTTTTAATGGGATGGTGTATCTCAAAAGTTTACAAAGATTCGGTTACCATTAATTTTAATTGATGTACTCCATCTCCATAGCTATAAACACCAAATTAAAGAGGCCTTGTTTAAACGCTATATTTGTATAGAATAATTTAAATTTTTCCTTGGTTAGATTATACATTATACAAAATTATTTAAATAACAGGATTTGGATAAACTAAATTAGTAAGTGCAGTGTAGTTTTAGAAGTAACGAGCTAATCTTATGAAACTGAGCTGTAATTGAATGTATGGTGACATTCTAAATGTATTTGATAAGTACCTATATAACTCCATTTACACCATTGTATTGTAATTTGTGACCCTATTTGTGTCAGTTATATGAATGTTCTAGAAGTTTTTAGGGGTTTATCAAATTTAAAACTGGAGGCTCAACCTCTTAAAGTAACTTTATTTTAGCTTTTAAACATTTAAATCAATATTCAACTGTGTTTTAAGTGGCCTAGGTAGGTATTTGGTGGAATAAATTGGTTTAACTTATTTACAAATTCTGTCAGAATTTTGTAAAACTAATTATGTACTTAAAAAATATATATATAGTTATTGTAATATTTTCAAAGCTTTCCTAATTATTTCCTTGGATTTTAATATGGTAATATAAATAATAACCTAGTTACTACAGTTAAATAATAAATATTCTGACAATAGATGTGCTAGTTGATAGGCATACTCTTAAATCAGTAGATTACTCTTTTCTTTTGCTTGTTTTGTAAACTTTTGAGAGTAAAATTGCTACAAGGTTGATAATCAACATCAATTTAAAAGACTGATAGTTGGTAAATTTCATTTTTTATATAGTTTTACCCCTAGAATAAGGTTTATTCGTTTAATTCCGAATTTGCTCAAACAATTTACATTTATCGGATAAGTTTTACCCATATTTAATTCCACTGCCGTAGAATGCCGTGTATACTTTTGCATAGCTCAATAAGACTACATTGATCAAGGAATTGTGTCGTTGGTATTGTTAAAGGTAACGGTCAAGTTGAATAATTGTGCTTGCATCTTGTCACCTAATATCTGATTAGTTTTCTTCAAGCCAGAAATCCAATATATTTGGAAGGAGTAGTCAAGCTTTAGTGCCAAAATTTTACTGTTAAGCACATTAGCTATATTAATATAATATCCATATTATCCGTAAAATTAACAATCTCTTGTGTAACATTTTTCTAAAGTCCATTAAGGTTTATAGTGCACTTAAAGTTTGTAGTTGTTTTAAGCCTAGCATAAGGTCATACTAAAATCACGGAATATATATTATTCATACCATACACTATTTGCTAGATAATAATAAAGGTATTTACTATTTTATCAAATTGGTTAATAATTTCTGCAGTATCCATTTTATCTAATGTAGATGGAACCGATGTATGAATATGATAATTTAATAAAATCTTAGGTAATTTTAGATTAGAATGCAAGACGCTCAAGCTTTTATTCAATATTTGTGTAAAAATCTGTAAAATTGTAGAAAATAATATGTAGACCACATAAATAAAGATGTTAAAATATATATTATTTTTATATTATTGATCATCAATTTATTTAATTCTGCAATGACTTGTTCATTTTAAAAGGACTTTATTGCACTGAAATAAAAACAAAAATATAGATAAATTCTTTATTGATTACTTCACAACATTAAAGACAGTGATAAATAAAATGTTAAAAAAAATCAGCTGAAAACAGTATCAATTCCTGTCACATGAAGTTTTCCAAAAATAAAGTGAAGAGTTCATATTACACCATTTTACATTAGCTGTGGCATATCAGAAACATTTAGAGGACAGTGCAAGAGCTTTTTTCACGGAAAGGATTCACTTTTTGACTAGTAAAGCCCACTAGGAGACAATCTTCTTGTTCATGCTCGCTTATGAAGCGAACGATGTCCGCTACAGCAACAGATACTGGAATACGCTTAATAGCTGCTTCCCGCCGCAGCTGCTCGGTAACAGACCGCTGCTGTTGCAAAGTCGACACCATCATGTCCATTACGGCAGTATCTGAGAGGCCTATGTTGATAGCCAAACAAACAACGTACTCTAACAAAAGGGCGTAGCCTCCACTACAGCCTTGATCTGCAAACAGAGTAGCTTTTTATAGCAAATAGTAGTCAAAAACGAATAGCAATATATAATATTTTACTTACGACGTTCAAGAAGACTATTTTGGGACTTATTTTAGTAGAAATAATTAATCTGCTCGAATAAAAACAACCAAATTCCTGGAGATTTCTTTTATATTTGACAACTCAAATTTTAGTTGACACTTTACCGCTCAGTATTTATACGTGTTCATGACAAAAAATACACACAAATCTATATTCAATTGGTTTTAATAAATATATTTAACGTACATAATCTGCACTTCTTTTTATGAGAAATGTGTTATAATTTTTATTTTAAATAATGGTATAATTAAGAAGCCTCTTTGTTTGCATTACCTGTGCAATTTTAAAATTAACAACTGTATATGACAATCACTCAGCAATGACAATTAGCAATTCAGGTGTCAGGTATAAGATATTGGGATAATTTTTGGAAAACCAAAGAAAAATAATTAAATTTCACCTTTATTACAACGATCAATAGAAAATGGAGGGTGACGGAACTGAAAATACTAAATCGTTCTCGGGAATACCTGAAGCGATCTTTGTAGTAAGTTCACATATATTCCGTCCAATGACCGAAAATGGTTTTAGGTTACCTTATGCATCTGCTATTAATAATCTAGTTTACGTACTTTTATGAATGTACAACTAAACTTTTTAGTTATTCATTATTTAGATATAACATTAAAAATTCTTGGCAGTTGCTAACGTTTCCCAATATTTTTGTTTTAGGACAATGTAGACGACTTTATGAATTTACCGGAAAACTCAGAAGGTGTAGAAAAAGTGTTACGAAAACTTGACGAACAACATGGAAAATACAAATTTATGGAATATACATTGAGCACAAAAAGACGTCGTCTTCGTCAACAGATTCCCGACTTGGCACGATCACTTGAGATGATCGAAAAGTTGAAGACACAAAAGGAAACATTGGAGACACAATTCTTACTAAGCGATCAAGTTTTTGTTAAAGTAAGTATAGTTGCTTTTTAGAATTTTTTATTGATGCTGATCTTTGTTATATCTCATTTTCTACCAAATCAAGCTGACAAAGAAGGAAATGTTATGTGCCCATGTGTATCCAAAAACAAGTTAAAATGTTAATCCATTCCGTTAATTGTCACTAATTTAGTGACCATAGACTTAGTAGTCTACAAAACCTGCACTGGATCAGCATGCAGGGTCTAAATTCTTTCCTACTCTCCTATGAGAGAAGAGACCTGTGATGAGACATTTGTACATGAAGGAACTGTTCTAAATATTTTTTAGATCTTCATATTAGAATTAATAAGATAGTGTTGCTACCATATGACTATTTATTTTTGTTCTTAAGGCAGACGTCCCACCCACAAACAATGTGTGCTTATGGCTCGGAGCAAATGTAATGTTGGAGTATTCATTAGAGGATGCTGAAAAACTACTATCAACAAATATGGCAACTGCTAAAAAGAATCTAGCCTGTGTTGAACATGATTTGGACTTTTTGAGGTACCACTCAAAGAAATAATAAGTTTAATTGTTCCATATTATTTCTGACTGAAATCTTTTAGTTTATAGAATAATTTTAGTATGCAATTTAATTAATCATTTACTAAAAAAAATTCACTAAATAGACAATATTAAATTGTTTAAACTCCATATACTATTTTATGCATGTGTCTAATAAAAAAACTATTGTTTTTGCAGAGATCAATGGACAACCACAGAGGTTAACATGGCTAGAGTTTACAACTGGGATGTGAAGAGGCGGCAGGCAGCTAGAGCGTCTAGTTAATGGGTTTATCATGCTTATTAATACTAACCTTTGCAATACTACCAATGCTACAGTGAAACAAGAGTAAGAAGGATATCTTGTAAGAAAGAACTTGATATGCGACTGGGCAGTATATTTGACCCAAGGGCTTGACACTGCTCTACCATGATGATCCTACACCGCAACACATTTGATTCACATTATTAATTCTAATATTCAAAACATTGTAGTTTAGCAGAGAATTTAATGATGGTCTGAATTTTATTTAGTCTTCAATAATTTACTCAGACGAAATAGATTGGCAAATAATTTCAATTAAATTCAATAAAAAAATAATACTTATTTAATCAATTCTTATTTGGCTGTCTGATGATTCATGTTTAATAAATGAATAATTTACATCAAATTATGTCAAATTGCACCCTTATACTTACTTATTATTTACATAGCTTTGAATTGTGTTATCGTAATAAATAGTTTTTCTATCTTATGAATATTTTATATTTTTAAGCCTCTTAATATTTAAATCTATTCCAAACCATTTTTATCCTTAAAAATTGTAAAGAATGGTTATAGAATATCAAACTGGAATTTGATCCCAGATTGATACATAACAAGTATATATGTATAACTCTAATACATAATAAATCTATTTAATGACGATTGGTCAAATTGTAAAACATGCCTACTTAATCATTATTTTTAAAATTTTAATGAATTGTTCATTTAAAGTAAGCTGTATGACAGGGTAAAATAAATGTCTAGCCATCTGTGGATAACAACACTCGATGACGTGAAACTTATCTGTCTACTTTTTTACGTTAGGTAAATTGTCACAGTCAAAACGATTTAAAAACAATGCTACGTTTCAACTTTCAATGAATAACATTATGACATAGTTATATATTATATACAATAATATCCTCGAAAAAACTTTGTTACACAATTTAAAATAAATATTAATCAATTTACATATTAAAGGTATGTAGCCAATGGATTCATTATCTATACTTATGTATTTATCATTTATTAATTGGTTAGATTAAATAATCACTTTTTATTATTTTATTATAATAAATTGTTATCAGGCAATGGCGCCATCAACAGATTGGGATGAAATCAAACGATTAGCAGCTGACTTTCAAAAAGCTCAGCTTAGCTCAACATCACAAAGGTTTACCAAATTCCTTAATTACTTATAACTTTAATTGATCATACCTCTAATATTAAACTTATCTTTTAGGTTATCAGAAAGGAATTGTATAGAAATTGTAGCAAAACTTTTAGAACTAAAGTTATTAGATGTTATATTTACAACTGACGGTAAGGAATATTTGACACCCCAACAATTGGTGAAAGAAATAAAAGATGAATTATATATTAGAGGTGGCCGAGTCAATACAGTAGACCTTGCAAGGGAATCTAGTGTTGATCTGAATCAAATTAATTTAAATCTTTCTGAAATTTTAAAAGAAAAGGATATCCGATTGATATCTGGGTACCTAATATCTGACAGCTATGTCGAAAAAATAGCCAGGGAAATCAATGAGAAGCTACAATTACAAGGCCAACTATCTGTTGATGAACTGACGTTGCAATACAGTCTACCAGCCAACTTTCTTCTAGATAATGTGTTAGAGAAGTATTTAGGCAAATTGATTATTGGAAAACAAGATCCTTCCGAACCGCGAACATTTTATACAGAGGAGTATATAACTAGAACAAAGTCAAAAATTAAGGGTGCTTTCATGGGTTTACTGAAACCCACCCAAATTAGTATAATTGTTGGTCACTGTAATGTAGCTGAACGCCTTTTTATGTCTCTATTTGACCAAATAAACGCTCCAGGAGTTTTAACTGGTCGTACAGCTAGTGCTCTCTATGTACCGTCATGTTATACAAAATCACAAAATGAATGGGTGATTAGCTTTTGGAAGCAAAATAATTATTTAGAATATGATGCATTACATCGCTTAGGTTTGTCTGATCCAAAAGGATATATAAAGAAGGTTCTACACAGTGAAGATTTGACATTCCTAAGTAGCTGTGTTATAGGGTCCCACATACAACAGCAAGTAGAAGTTGCATTAGAGGAATGTATTGCATCAAAAACCTACTTGGATGTTGTGAGCTTACTTCCTTCTGTATTGTCAGAGAGGGACATTGAGAATGTACTTGATACATTGTTAAAGAACAATGCTAAATCTACTGTTGTCTTTGATAACACTGGTAAGATCTAAAAAATTATTATTAGTTTTAAGTGCTATGCCAGTCAATATACAATACAAAATTTCCGATGCAAAGTTGAGAGGATTTTTTATATCAGAAATCACATAAAGCAGAAAACTATTCCTAATTCTAACAAGCTGTGGCAAATGACAGTTAAGTTAACAAGAAAATTATCCTTAAAATTTAAATAGTCTTACTATTTTTCTATTTTTATTAATTAGTGTCTATTCTATATTTTATACACACAGTTACCAGTTTAAACAAATCATATATGTATTATGTTTAGATTTCTTAAAAAAGATATATATAAATATTTCTGCCTTTTAGTGTTTAGTCATCATTTCATTGAAAACTTGAAACAGCATTGTATGGCAATAACTAAATCAAAAGCAGAAGCTGTGGTTAAATCTGGAAAATACCAACAATTCTATTTAGAAAAACAAATAGCTAGAAGTGAACAGTTGCAAACACAGACAGATCATAAAACTGAGAAGCGTGAAGAGAGGAGACGTAAAGCCACAAGTGGGAAAGGTGGTGGTGGTACTCAGGGTCGCGAAACCAAGACTAAAGCTGTTAAGAAACACCCCAGGTATTTAAAGCAACAACAGGAGTACTAAAACTATTCTTCATACCTTGTGGTATGAAGAATTAAGTATTCTTTATACCTTATAACGACTTAATAATTTTACTTTCAGGTGTTATATATAGATTTGTGTTCTATTCAGTTATATTAACTCCTGAATAAAACAACATACACAATCTTCTGTCATTTATTTCAGAGGTAAGCAAGTGGTACATGATTCTGATTCTGAGGAGGAAGTATCAAAGAAAGCTCAGGCCCAATTGGAGATTATTTCTGTGGAGGATGTTGAGAACCTCATCAAGGGTAATCTAGAAAGTGAAGGTCTGGAGGACTTGGTGCAGCAAATTGCTGAATATTTACAGAGGTAACATCATTAACCTCTATATTATTGGTTGTCTATTTCATTCCTTATAATAGATTTGTTATAGAAGTTTTAAATGATGATTACCTTACAGCTCCTTGAATGATACTGCCTTAGCCATTGCAAAGGATATGGCAGAGAAATTGCTACAGAACGCAAGTCAAAGCAAAAAACAAACGCATTCTTCAGCCCAAGACAGAGTTAATGTCCTCGTCAATGATATTAAACTGTACGAGAAAGGTATAAAAAGTGAAAATAAAATTTGTTATAGTTATTGTAATGTAATATAATGTGATGTAAATGTAATTTCAAGTCAATGCATATGCATAGCAGGTCGCTGCTATCAAAATGAAAAAAATACGTCTCTGAGCTATTTATTTTGACAGCTACAGATATTTTTGAGTTATAATATGCATTGACCAAATTCTACTTTCACATCTACAAATTTATAATGAAGTCTATTGAAAATTATAAACTTTTCTTATGATGGAAATTTTATAGGTTTAAAAGTATTCCCTGCCGACCAGCAACCAGCGTACATCAAATATTTGTTGAAAACTTTCGGATCTGACGTTTTGGGTGAATTTTGTAAGTATGCTGCGAACCAGTGCAATATATCCGTGCAAGTGGATGTGCTGTCCCCAGAACAGAGGAATAAGATCATAAATGATCTACCAGAAGAATACATGAAGCCATTCAGAGCTTTAAATGCAACCTTATCAGAACAGAATTTAGACTTGTTCTATCAAGCAGTGGATGTTTGTCTGTCGGAGTGTGGCATGATATTGAAGAAGGTTAATAAAAAAGAAGACAAGTGAGTCATTTTTGGGATCAATCCTATTGTACTACACAGAGAGACAATAAAACAAGTGTTCTCTTACACAGTTTTGTATTATATTTTTGTTCTAAATTCTTCATCATCATAATTATTTTTTATTTCTTTTTAGACACTTAATACTAAATCACAGAGAGAAATTAATCTCAGAGTTGGAAAACTGTGACGATCCAGCCTTGGTCCTTCACTTGGCTGTTTTGGCGATATTCACCATGCTTCATCAGAACATGTTGCACGCTTCTGGTCGTCAGGTGCCGTCTATAATTGGCTATTTGAAAGCTCAACTTAAAGACGAGGATTATGTCAAGTTACAACACTATCAGGGTTAGTCTAAATAATTTTATTTCATTTCTAATTATATCAAATGCTCTACAAGAGACAGAATAAACGTCGAAATTTATCAAAGGTCTCTATAGTAAGCCCGGAAGATAAGAAGTCTTAAAAAATTCATGATTTCCTTTGTATGTCAATATAAAAGATACCTATCTGTCAATTATATTTTTACTGCGACATTTATGAAAAAGGTATAAACCATCTTACAGTAACTAGGATACTTACATCTTGTTGTATGTGAATAGTAATAAATAAAACCTTTCAAAATGTTTAAAAGACTTTAAGACTAGTTAAGTTAGTTTTAAGACTAGTTAGTTGTTTGTTAGTAGTACCCTGCTCTTGATCATGGCAGTAAAAACATCCGAAATATCTTGTAGTTTAAACTCGTTAAATCATTTTTGATGTTAAGTAAAACATACAAATGTTATTTTGTTTTAGAATCAGTGACAAAATTTTTGGTGGCGCGCGAAGAAGATAAAATTGCACTGGAGGAAGCCTTGAAAGATGAACTACCCGCAATTAAAAATTTGGTTAGCGAAGTCAAGAAATACAAATAATTTATCCGTTACTTAAGAAATAAAATGTTTATACTGTTGTTGAAGGCTCTTATTTAATTTTAGTTATATGAAAGCGTGTCAGTGGGCTTACTTCCCTCTTTTATCTTCTCAAAACTATAAAGTATAAATTGCTACTTTAAACGTTTTCTTCCGCGTTCAATTAACGGTAGCGGTTCTTCAAGTTCATCAAATTTCCGAATTTGGAATTGCTATAAAATGAAAAGAAGTTAACAGTTCTAGAATCGTAATTGTTGTTGTACTTATTTTCATTTATCGTTATAGTATTTAATTTCATTCGACATTGTATATCGATTTTGCTTGGAGCCATTCCTAAGTTTTCTGAGATTCTGTTTGGCCTAGTTGTTAAAGCTGCTTCGCAACATTCGAGAGGTCTTCGACACCCGGAACATTAACTATTTCAGTTGGAAAGAAAACGGGGACTCTAATCACTTACAAGTCAATAAAAACTGACAACAATATATCTGTCTCTTTTCTATAAACGGGGTCTAGTCTAATACAGAATACGAAGACGATACAGATACGAGAAACGAAAATGTATAAGTAGCTGCTCATTGAAAGAAACGTTTTAAACCGTCATTTCTTAATTTAAAAGTGCCCATTAATATAGTTCGTATTTCAAGCAGTGAAAAAAATGTTCTTGTAAGAAATTGAACACGAGTAAAATACGTTATATCTTACTCATGGAATACTACAAAGTATTAGAAGAAGACATACTATACTCGCATGTACTGTATATTACAAGCTTACATACATCTGTACGCGATTTTAACTACGTAGTACCTACCTACCCTTATATATAAATTCTACTCACGAGAGGTTCAAACAATAAATAACTATCAATCTGTATTTAACCGTCGATAAATTAAGTCATTCTAAAGCTTGTTTGTCACATGTTAAGCTATAAGTAACCCTCCTATCAAACAGTAGGGTCTACAACTGTTGTCAACTTATCATACTTGTAAAGCTGATCGCCATTATGTGCATATCTTATAAAATTATGTTTTTATTTTCTTTTACATAATCAAAACAAAACAAACCAAAAATGACTTTATGTTCACCACAATGTTACAAAATAAACTTAATTAAAAACACACAAAATGTAGCGAGAAAAGGCTACGGGTTTTCTTTTAATAATTTAAATTCCTTAACTCCATTGTATAAACGCTAATATTTTGAACTTATGTTTTGTCATAATGTTTTATACGCCATTAGTGTGAAGTTTCTTAGTTTATTATAACAGCATACGAAAATCTACCTAAAGGAATTCCAAAAAAAAGGTTAGAAAAGGTTATTCACCTTCAACGGATGATACAAGAAAGAAAGTGAAAACAATAGTACAAAAGCTATTAATTATTTTGAAGCATAGTGATACCTAAGTACGAGGATAAGGATATGCAAATTAATGGTCTAACCTTTATTGGCAATTATGTTGGTATAATTATACCTACCTGTATTGTTAGTTTAATACGACTGCATACTGTATAGAGTGGAACGACAATTATTAACATTCTTTGTTATAAATATAATGTGCAAATTATTTACAAATAAGGATATGTAGGTACATATAATTGTGTTTATACATTCGATCTAAAATGTATCATATAAGTAGCTTTTCATTAATAGTCGTATTAAAATCAATGGTCTTTAGTGTCTAGTGCCTGAAACGGGGTTTCAACAAAATGAGAAAGCATGCTCAAAATTAATATTCTGTTAACAATATTTCAGTATCTTTAGTAGACTTTTTCAAAGATAGGTTAAAAGATCAGTCCTTTGTCCATTTCAACATATGACAAAATATGTTTTTTATTTCATACTATAAATTATAAACAAACCAGAAAATATGAAATATTTTTATAGAATTTGTTATTTAAATTTGAAACTCGTTATTAAATGACGCGGTTTTTTTTTCTATAAACTGCTCTCATGTTGACATTTGACTTATGTTTGTCTACCTGCTATGTGCGTAAATGCTGGTATCTCTTACGATTGATCATGCATTTTAATATTCTTTGTAAGGATATCTTGTTTAATTAGCATTTCTACTCCTACGTAAATATGCCTATGCATCTAGTTACTACTAAGAAGTGTCTCACAAATTATACTTCCTTGTTGCAACACTTCGCCGGGTAAATTATTAGAACGGATGGAAAAATATCTGACGACGAGTAAAGAATTAAAGTTTAACTGAATTGTGCGGGAAATGTACAGAGCTCTACGAAGCGATTAGGAGAAGTCAGACAAGTATTCACTTGATGGATTTATTTAGGCTGTTTTATGAGAGATATGTTCATACGCAGTTTATCTTTTTTATGATAGAGTGGGGCAGACGAGCTGAAGGCAAAATATCCCAGCCATGTAACACCTAAGCAAGATGCGATGTGTATATTATATCAGCGCTATAATTTATTTTGATTTGGGATATTCTGAAATCTTTAGTCTCAAACCGAAACAAGATTTATCTTCACGACTTTTTTATTTGTCAACATTGGTTTGTGACAGGAAAGAATTTCGAATATAATTTTGTTAGTTCGTCTTTTTTGGGTAAGGGATTGCACAACCGTACCGAGTACAAGGCGATAAAAAGCTTGCTGTAACCGAGCCACCGAGATTGTCAATTCAGTGATATAAATAAAACAAACAGCTATGGCCGCTTTTATGTACAAGAAGACCTCTCAACGGACATTAGGTCAATGCACTATGGAGTGTATCACGTCAAAAATGAATAGATTTTTTGAAGTAAACGTTATATGAACAGCGTTGTGCTTTATTTTAAATATATAAGTACATGACTAGCCTGGCCTCGCACGGGTAGACATAAATAAGTACAAATATTTATATTATAAGCATGCTAATTAAAACGACCATGAATCACTAAATTAGAAAAAAAATGTATTGCGCGTCCTAGCTGTTAACGACCATGGTCTATCCCGCTGGTTCAGGCGCCGCTGGGAGCGTTCAGTGTTAGTGTCCCGTGCACGCGTCCGCGAATTCCTAGCTCTATTTCCTTCAAATTGCTGCGACGATCTTGCATTTTGTTCTGCAAGACGAACCTGAACGTTTGACGATAGATTCTCTGGCTCGCGATTGGGACGCGTACACTCTAATACTTTCCAGCCGATCATTTTAGGATGAAGACTCTCCAATACGACGAACTTTTGTTAATTTCGCTTGGAAACTATTCTTAGATAGCTGCGACCTTCTTCTTCTAGGCATATTGCTATGACGGATATTTATTTTAAATCAGATAAATTAAGAATAAACTAATAAGTAATACAAAAGAAAATATTCAAGTTCAAAGCGATAGTTTCGAAAGAATTTTAACAAATATTATGCAAAGTGTGATTCCTAATACTAAAACTAAGGTGCTTTGAAAAGAACTTTTTTAAGTGAAGCATAAAAATTAAAAAAAAAATCGAAATGTTCAATGTCGTTAAGTGTAAGGAGCCCACTGCCTCTCTATCGTCGAATTAGTTACTCGATGCGCGGCGTGGCGGCCGCCGCCGGCATGGTTTATTAATTTTAATTTCATGATATATTTTGAATCGAATGTCCGATTTCAATCAGGTTTTGAGACAGTCTTGAATATTAAACTATTTATTTGGATAAAAATTTATAAATGGTATGCTAAGTAAGATTTCCTCAGACCGGGGGCCCCTTCGGGCTGGGGGCCCGTGGCATTTTGCCGACTTGCCACTCTATAGTAACTACAATAGTTAGACATATGCTCTCGAGATGTTTTTTGTAGATATTGATATATTCTATAATATTGTCGAACATTTTTTTGTCCTATCATTAATACTATTCGCAGCGTATGCGAAGATAGACATTTTACGGCTAATTTTTTTACGCCTTCCGTTGGTTTTAGTAAGAATTTCTATAGATGCCTATAGTAATCAAGTACTACATATAGTCTATATTACTCAGTGATAATGTAGCTTTCAAATGAAAAAAGAAGTATTAAAATCGGTCCAGTACTTTTTGAGTTTATCCGTTACATTTAAAAATACAAATCTTTCCTCTTTATAATATTAGTATAGAGAAAAATACGATAAATAATAAAAGAAGTTATTAATATATATTTATATATGTTCAACATATGTATTCACACATCATACCTAGATGTAATCAGTGATATAAGTTGTCATGATTGCGTAAGATAGAACTATTTATGAATATTGTACTTACAACAAAACACTTTTGATAATTACACCGATTCGTGCCAACTAATTCTATAGCCAATCCTAGAAATCAAAAATGCACAATTACATTGTTCTTGTCGTTATATTTAAGCCCTCCCTTTACGAGAAGAGCAATCTGTCTTACTCCAATTATATATTATATATAAGTTTCTTTATATAATTGTTAAAATGATTTTATAAACAAAGTTATTTACTAAACGGCACATATTTAAAATAATAAAAAATGACTTATTACAGCATAATATAATCTTTATAATAAGTAATTTTTAACTTGTACTCGTTGGTGCTTCATTAGTTACTTCTGCTTATAGCTTAGCAAATTATATTACTTTAAGTGACTTTAATTTTCAGGCGTCATTAATTATTTAAATAAAGACGTTTTGCTAATTCAGAGCTTAAAATAATGAAGGATTTAAATTGATCTGGAATAAAACTTTGTTTTTAATTTTTATAGATAAGTACCATATCTTTTATATTTTCTGAACAAGACGTGAAAAAAAACTCTGAATAATCTATAAGGTGTAATTCTCGTTTTACGCCGTTAAAAATTATTTGCTTAAAAGTCAGAATTTCTATATTTATATGTTAATTTTTAATAGAAATAATCCAGCGTGAATTCGTGGTAATTATTGGCGTTTTATGTGTAATTTTAAAATATACTACCCCAAAATATATCAATTTTACATAATATCTGTATAACTCTACATACAAATTCTTTACGAATTCATAATTTCCTTATTTAATTTTAAGTATTTAATTAAGTCTAGGAGAGAAGGCGGGCCTCGACAAAAACGCTGACGTCAAAACATCAATATTAATCTGATACACATCACATAAAATGCTGATACGACTGCTTTACTTTTGTCGTTTGTTTTTGTATGCCCAACGTCGACGAGCGCTAATACTTAATAATTTAAAATGTATTTATTTTATGCACATCCCATTACCTATATAACGCGAAGAAACTTTAATCTGCATCGATGTTAGTCAATGCTAGTTGCCACGAGTCCCTGGTCTTACTTATTGTAAATACAATTTAAAATTTTCGCATGAACTTAATTATATTATGTAGACGTAGATTAGTTAATTGTGTCGAAACAGGTAGTCTCATCTCTACTAGTCTGTGCAAAATAGTTTATAGCTGGTGTCGGCAGAAGTCGTGTAGTGTACGATAAAAATCGTTATTAATTATGTGTTTAAATAAATATATTTAAAAGTTGGAGTGTTAATTAGTTATTTGTATTGCCGAGCAGAACTGCTTTTAAACAGAGCGATGCGTATTTAATTTTAAATTAACAAGTTTTTGTAAATATGAATGAAAAAGTTGAGATCTGTGAATTATTGACTGGAAGACTGGTCAAAACTGAAGAAAGTAATAACAACCGCAGAATGCCGAAAGACCCACCTGATGGTGGTTTCAGAGCGTATTCTGTGGCATTTGGGTCGTTTATAATTAACGGCCTGATTTTTGGTGTTTTGAATTTCTACAGTGTAATTTACACTGTTTTGAAAAACCAGTTGCTGGATCAAAATGTGGAAAATGCGGAAAGTAAAGCAGGTAAGTTGTACACCTTTACTCCCTCAAGATTCAAATTTTTAGGGTTACAAATATTTATACTATATTCAGTATGATTTAAAATTTAATTAATATAAACTTATGCCTTTGTATAATATTTGTAATCGTCTGTTTCGAGAACATAACACTAAATCTGTACTTTAGTGATTGTATGTATGTAAAATTAAAAACACTGAAAAATTCGATATCATAAGCATATATTTCTAACTTATTAAATTACTAAAATCAATTGTTCTGAACGATAAGGCACCAATAACTGCATTAACGATGAATTTTGTAATGACTATTTAATTATCTAAACAATTACTTAATGATTGTTAAATCAATATTATTTTTCAAATATTAGTTCTCATGATAGTTTAAACCAACTTTATTTTAAAGTTACACTTAATACATCGAATCTTGCCCTTGTTCTATTTTACATACAGATAGTATGTAAAATAGAACAAATTATAAAATGTATGTTACACTAAAGAACAAGGTTGTTATAAAACTACATGGCGAGTAAAGACAGATTTCGTGATTTTTATTAGGTTATATTATAATAAATAGAAAGTCTATGAAATTAATTTGATTGACATCTATTTTGTACAACAATTCCTAATAATGTACTTAAACTCTGCGATTGATTGCACAACTATCAATCGTAGGCGAAATTAAAAAAATGTAAACTGTAACAGCATTACGAATGCTTACTAAAGAAAAATATATAATATGCTTATTTATTGTTTTTGCGGATAAAATCGTGTTATATCTAATCCAAATTTTCACGCTAAAATTTATTTAAGAGCTATATCGAAGCACTTTTCTTCGAGACATTTTAATTTTATTTCAAAATAAACGCTAGTAACTTAGCTATATTTTGTTTCAGCTCTGGTCGGCTCATTGGCCATGAGCATGACATTACTGATGTCTCCAGTGGCCGGTGTCTTCTCGGATTTATTGGGCCTACGGCTGACTGCATTCCTCGGGGGGTGCATTGCTACGACCGGCCTAATAATCTCGTCCTTTGTCATCGAATGGGTGGAAGCTCTATACGTAACTTATGGCGTAATGTTTGGGGTCGGTGCTTCGCTCGCGTACACCCCCTCGCTAACGATCCTCGGCCATTACTTCAAGAGATATCTGGGGCGAGTGAATGGTGTGGTCGCGATTGGGTGTTCCATTTTCATTGTCGCCATGACGCCTCCCTTGAAATACGCCGTCGACAGTTTTGGTTTGGAATGGGCGTTCAGAATCCTTGCTCTCATGACGTTTGGGATAGCACTGTGCGGCCTTCTTTTCAAACCGTATATCGACGTGTCTTTTGAAAAATCTCTGAAAACAAAGACCACCTTTAGGAGCTCTATAAGCTGGGAAATCTGGAAGATTTCTAGATTCCGGTTATGGGCGCTGTCCATGCCGATCGCTATGTTCGGCCATTTTGTACCTTACGTGTACATACATAATTTCATTAAAGTAAACTTTGAGGATAGGACGTCCACCCTACCACAGCAATGTATAGCAGCGACGTCCGGTTTAGGGAGGTTGTTGTTCGGTTACCTTTCTGATAGGAAAGGGATCAATACTGTTGTATTGCAACAAATTTCGTTGGGTGTCTTTGGAATTTTAACGATAGCAATGCCATTTATTACTTCATTTGAGTTACTTCTTGTGATCTGTTTGGGAATCGGTTTATCGGACAGTGGATGCATTACATTGATAGGTCCTATAGCTTTTGAGTTTTGCGGCACTGCGTATGCTGCTCAGGCGATTGGTACTATATTTGGAGTATCAGCAATCCCTTTGTCTGTCGGCCCTCCGGTAGCAGGGTATCTTCTTAAGCTATACAATTCATTTACGTTTTCTTTCGTGTTAGCCGGTTTCTCTACGGTACTAGGTGCTACTTTGATGTTCATCATCAGATGCCATACTTGCGATAAAGAAGCTAGAACGAACGGCCATGTTACTCCAACGTCTGATATTGGTGAGTATTGAGTAACAAGTAGCATCATGTTGTAGGTATATGTTCAATTAAAGCTGCTCTACTTTGGAAAGATATAGGTGTATAGCGATATAATATATGGGCACCGAGTTTAATTAAATTTATTTGTTTTGTTTATTTTGATATCTCATATTCTAAAGCCAGATACAAATTACATTAAGTTTTGTAAACCGATCCTAATTTAAATATTTAATCAATTTTAGAAAACCCGCCATTGCTTAGACCAACTGGTTTGGACAGCAAACATCCTTGCTACGGGAGCTAAAACAATGGCTCAAGGGATCTGAATATGAAAACTTAATCTAAGGTGAGCTTTCTCGTAATACATTATTAAATGTCTATATAATTACGTTTATCGTTACATGTTCTTAATTAATATTCAACAATAAATAACATATAATAACACATTCATTAGATAAAGTCTTATTCGTATCTTTTGGTATTAAAACTATTAGTTTTAATGTAAGGAGATAGAATACAAATTTATTACATGTAATTATTAACAACTAGGCATTTAGATAACTATGTTACTATTTTTAAATCTACAAAAAGACATCAACGTGTTTTAGTAGATTTAAAAATTCATAAAGCCTCATGTATTACGTGATAAATCTTTTGTTTCAGGTCGTCGCGGCGAAAAGAATATACATATAATGGAACCAAAAACGAGATGCGTAGATGATCTACACGGGTACTAAGTGGCAACCCCAATAAAAAGCCAAGTTAGGGCTATTGAAATTTCCCACAGTTAAATTTGGATCTATAGCACTTTCTAGTAAACCTGTTGGTTGGCATTTATATGTAGCTGGTTTTTCATTATAGAGCACAATGTTATGTATAAGAAAGTTACGTGCAACGGAACATGCTTTATTAAAAACTACCGAATAAACCAAGTCAGCTACTAAAACCTATTCAGCCAACAAATCCAGGACGACTAAGGGTAATCTTTGAGTCCTGAAATTTAATTATTTTCACAAAAAATCTATCTATACCTATTCTTACTGGACCTTCAGAAACGCAAAATAGGTTAGTAATTCGACGTGTACTGGCACAATACCCTGCATAAAGTTTGACATGATTCCTTGCTATTTGATTTTAAATCTTATTACTATTGGTAGCCAATTCTTTTTTCTGCGAATTCGTCTTATGTTGACATTCAACCGGTGCCTCCAAAACAGGCTACAAGAAATTTGAATATTTAAAAAAACTGGTTAGACTTTAATTGATATTTTATGCAATTTATAACAATAAAGTTATGGAATAGATCATTTAATTAGCATTTTTCTCAATATAGTAAATAAGCGAACAAATTACGCACTATGACATATACATGTATGAATACAACAGTATTTTAACGAGCTTTTGAGTTTAACTATCTATCAATAAAACAAATGAAATCTCATGACCTGAAAGTAAATTTACTTATACATACCTAATTATATCGGTGACCGGGTTATAATAAATTAGGAATCTAAAATATACGTGCCATATTTATTTTGTCTATTAATTCACACAGTCGCAACTGAAAAATAAAAAGTCTAAGGTTTCTATTATTTTATTTGTTTTTTAATACTTCATAAATCTTCATAAATTTTAAAGTGTTATTAAATTATATATTTGTTGCATTTATATAAAGTATTACAACGTTGTGAATATGTCACACCCAAAAAAAATAAAATGTTATCTACTTTTAAATTAGAATAATTCGTATTTAATAAATATAGGATCATTATTCAGCCTTGGAATATTATTTTTGCGTTGTTAGTATTTAATTAAACTATTACTTTTTATATTATACAAATGCCCAAATGTTAATAAGAAAGAGTTCTTTTGCTCTAAAGAGTTGATTGGTATATCAATCATTTACAGATTTTGTGCACACAAATTTTGGTAGAAGTTTTACTTGGATTACGTTGTAATTTAATTATTATTGTTGTACGTGAAGTGTGAAACTTAGATTAATTCTTTTTCAAAGGTTAGCCAGACATAAGAAATATTATTTACATAGACACTATGAGTTAAATAAAGCTGTTGTTATAAAATAATGTGATATATTCAACGATAGTGAGTAGTTATACCTTACATTTTGCCTATCTGCTAGTGTATACTAGATGGTAAGAATGTTAGTACAATTTGTTTTCCTTCGCGTGGTATTATAAGAATATTCCTGTTTTGATAATAATAGAATGACCTTGGGTGGTTTCTAGAAAGAAAAGGATGTAGCGTACTTGTTTAATCCGCATTCCTAGAGCTAAAGACAGTACCAGCAGTTTTATAGAAATGCTTATTTATTCCATGATGAAAAAGTTATTCCATTTACGCTGTATAGCACAATTTTTGTTATTTGTTAGGCAAAACTTTGTAATCCTTAAGGTAATTACTGCTTACTTACAGTGATAATTATGTATTTTACGTATCTAATATATTTTCAAGTAATATTCAAGGGAATTTCTTCAATTCAATAATGGTAGCATCGAATTTATAAATATAATTGATATTATTTTTATTATGGTTAGAGAATTTATCGAGGAAGGATATAAAACATCTCCCTGTGACGCTGTGTGTGAAAGTTTTGTATGCACCTGTTCAGCAGGCGTTTTTTTTCGCACGGTCAAAACTAAAAAAATGCGCTTAAAGGAAATAAGCTATAACAATCTGCTATAGTACTTCCAAGATTCTAAATTTTTATTGTTAATGAAATAAAACAGTATATTGTATTAGGTTTTATTAAGTCATAAAAAACAAACTGCACCACAGAAATGTTTTAAATGAAACGTCAGACGAGAGATGTTTGCATGAATGTTAATTGTCAGCCGTCACATTATGTCAATGTTCAATTCCAAGTTTTGTAAGTTCGAAATTCAAATTGTGCCAAAATAGTTTTGACTTTTGAGGAGTTGTTATGGTAAGCCGTCTTGTAGTGTACGATATAAAATTCGTAATTATGTACGGCGACAAAAAATATTGAATGAAACTTAAAACAACTCTTGGAGCTAATCAAATAATTACTTTACCAAATATTAAACGTGGAATTTGCTGTACTGCTAACCTTAGTTGAGCCATGTGTTTTTATTTTTAATTAAAAGACCTATTACTTTGAGAAGTCATGGAAAAAAGAGAAGTAGAAAATTGTGAATTGCTGACTGGAAGAGTGGTTCCAAAGGCTGAAGAATCTAATAATATACGCAGAGAATCAAAAGAGCCGCCTGATGGTGGTTTTCGAGCTTATTCTATTGTAATTGGATCATTTCTAACTAATGGCCTGATATTTGGTGTCATAAATTCGTACAGTGTGATTTTTACAGTGCTGAAAAAACAGTTGCTGGATCAAAATATCCCAAATGCAGAAAGTAAAGCAGGTAAGCTTATATACTAATATATATATAAATATATATATTTGTACTAATTAAATTCAGTAGGAACAAGGAATATACGGGAGGTATTACTGGGGTAAAGGACTTCTTTTATAAACTAAACTTTCAACCATATCATTAAAAAAAACTAACAAATATTCTTAAGCCTCGAAAAGTGTTAATCTGATATTTTTTACTTTGAACTGTAATTTTTATTTATTCTTTACAATTATAATAAAAAAATAAATAATGTACAAAGACATTTTACTCTCTAGATATAAATTTGTGACTACTACATGCTCTGTATTATAAAGTTGTAATGCTGTAACTTTGTTACTTACGTGCCTTTTAAATGTTGTAAATATGATTTTTTTTACTGAATGTGTCACTAGTGTTTTGTGTGTTTTAAAAATCTATGTATGCGGAACAAAATACTAAAAAATATATTATCATTTATTTGCTTCTTGAAATCTTAAACTTCAGTTTGATTTTTCAATACTTTCTTTTTCTCTGTTATAAATATTTGATAGGTAGGTATTTAATTTTAACTGATTGTTGACTGCTTTGCAACTTTTGTTGACTGATGTGCAACTTATACTTGTATAAATATATATTTGAACCAGACAGAAATTTGCCTGCTTGGAATATATTAGAAACAGTAGTAAACACTTGTACAATCAAAGTTATTAATTATGCTTGATACTAACTGTTGTTGTCATAGAGAAAGCGTCTATTGGGTAAACTTTATCATAGAAATAATTATTTACCAATATTTTACATACAGCACATAAATACTGATAAGAGCGGTTATTGTGGAGATATGAAGGGTTATCAGTTAAATGCAAAGCGTTTCTGTTTTTATTGCTCTGATTTAACTGTTAATTAAATGTTCTCTTACGTCATGTTCTTTATTATTACAAGTGTGTAAATGGCAAATTGTATTCATTTGGAGAGTTTTATTGTTTAAATACATACTTAAAGCAAATTATAAAGTAATGTTTTCATTTTAACAGATTTGAACAGTATTACAATCAAATGCAAATTCTTCAAGTCACTGAGTATGAGAATTGAGTAGATCTAGTAGCGATTTGAACATCATTACTTTCAATTACCAATATTTCAATCTAATTAGTTTTAATGACCATGATTCACATTCATTGAAATGTAAGTCATAAAATAGCTCAGGGATTGTTTAGCCATAGGTTAATTATTATACTCTAAATTGGCCGCAATTCATCTGACCTCATAATAAAGTGGTTTATTAGATCACAATTCTGACTAATTAAAAATCTCTCGAGCTTCGTAACTATAATTTTAACAATCCCGTCAACGAAGTAAAGAAGAAAGAATTAAAATTGGAGAAGGAGGGGGAAGAATTTCACGACAAATATTATAAATGAATTGTGTCTAAAAAAAATGAAACAAGTGTTAGGCAATACTGCGTTAAAAGCGGTCCTGAGTTTGAATTATTTTTGATTAATCTTACACTCAATACAACGATTTAATTAAAATTTGGAAAGTAGTTTCTTTGAGGTAAATTTTTTTACCTCAGTTTAATCATATATTTTACTAGCCGTGCCAGCGACTTCGTCCGCTAAAAATATTTATTTTGGGCGTCGAAATTCGTTTTTGCAAACCCTTTATGCTTACAAACTTAAGCTGTTACCTACGACGTCGGTCGCTTCCCTTCCCGTCGTTCTTGCAAGTTACACTTAAAAGATAGATATATATAGCGTCGCGGACATTTTTTAGATCATATAAAGAGAAATAATTTTTTCATACATATTTTTTGGGTATCTTGAACCGTTTTCGCAGCATACACAATGGAAACCGACAAGCATGAATAATTTTCTGCCTTCTTTCGACATTTCCCGCTGTTTCTTCGCTCCCATTAGTCACAGCGCTGTTTTATAGCCTATAATAGCCTTTCCCAATAAATGCTCTAACACAAAAATAATTCTTGAATCGAACCAGTAGTTCCTGCGATTAGCGCGTTCAAACAAACAAACAAACTCTTCAGCTTTATATATTAGTATAGATAGATGTATTTTTTCATACAGACATTTAGCTCATTGATTTTTGGATCTATTTTTTACATTAAGCTACAGCCATTATTAGAATCATTTGCTATATATGATGCAATAGAAGCTCATTGTTAATTTACATGCTTCGAACCTAATAAGCATTTTATTGAGAAATTCCTTTTAATTAAAAATACTGTGAAGCTAACAGATTAAATATATGACTAACATCAGTATATATTATTACCGCGAAAAAGAGGTACAGCTTCTAAAAACCCGCTGAGAACAAGTTTAAATCAAGACAAATTTCATGTTGTACATTTTTGTCATGTCACGTTATTTATGTAGTTACTAGGCTAATTTTAAACATGTATTTAATCTGCGTTTTAAATCTTTAACATAAGTTTTGCAGAGCTTACCTATATTCTAAAGTGTATACTATCCGTGGAAACTTATTTGCGTAATCTCAAAACAATTACGTGACGTAGGTTCGATCACGGATTTGTCTGTAATTTCAAGTAATTAATTTTTGTTTCGTCCCTTGCTAAGTAAAATCGATGGACCCCAAATCCAAAAAAAAAGAAATCGTCGATAGTCTGGTGGTGATTATTACTTCTAAACAGTGTCGTACAAAAAGTAACAATTAATGATGGCGACGCCGTGGCGAAGTTGATAGTATCAGCATATCTAATTGCTGCAAACAATATTTGATTGCAATGGACACGAGCCGAGAAATACACTGACACCGCGGTTCACTACGGTCTATCGTCAGCCATACTCAAATAACAAGAAATCATGTAAACATTTTGTAGATCAAATTAATTTTATTGGACGGCTGATATAAAATAGAGAATAATTGAAAATAGTGCTCCATAATAATCTCTAGTCTAGTCTCATTAATCGTTATTAGTGATCATGAAAAGAGAACGGGGATAAGTTTAGGGTGTAAATCTTTATATCAACAATTTCTTGTATACAGCAAATGTAGAAAGATATTTTAAGTTTGAGACACATCTGGGAATCGTATCGTGAAAATGTAAATAAATAAGTAAATTAGGTTTGCCATAACTTAACAATTAGGGTAGGTTTATATAAAACACTTTCAACAGCTTAAAACGCGTTAAGAACCGTTAAAAGTGTTTCATTTAAATGAGTGCTAATTAATTATAGACAGGAGTTGCAGTAGGTTGCATCAGAAGGTAAAAGATAAAGATGATGAGAAACCTTCATATTTTACTCAAGTTGCTGTCGAAAGAGAATGTTAACTTGACAGTGATAAAGTTGACAAGTGGTACACAATGTATCGTAATCTAATCAGGTCACAGAGTTCAGATTACACTACTGTATTCATCTCGATGTCTTATCTCGGCGCACGAACTTGTGTGAGACAAGCAAGGGGCCAGGGGGTGTGGATCGACTTACATCCAAATCACATCAGACACACAAATCACATCAGACACACAAATCACATACAAAGTGCGAGTTACAACTAATGACATATAAGAAGTTGTAAGACTTGGTGTTGTTAAGAAAAAAGACAAGTTGTTACAGAAACTATAAAACGAAAAACGATGCCTCGGGAAGCACTTCAATAGGTTATAATTAGTAGGTCCTATATTCAATATCAACAAAAACAGCAACAACTACAACCGGCATTTATAAAATTGTAACCGTTAATTATATTTGTTTGAGATGATTAATTATTATCTAATTTTTGTCTATTTACTTAACCGCCACGTCTTCGTCCTAGGTGCTTGTTTGGAAAAATAATTAACGATTAAAAGGATTGGAAAAATTAAATGTCCCAAGACTCTATATATACATATAAATATATTTTGCACATAAATGTCAGTTAGGTCGGTGACAATTAATTTTCTATTTGCTAATTATGGCGCTGACCAATAATAACTGTTAATTTTAATTGTTATTTCTGCTAACTTTTTATTTACGACTTTAGTTGTACTAACGCCGTCGTGGTGTTATTGCATTCCTTGGTGGAACACTAATTTTAAATTTAAAAAGTCACTTCCGTAAAGAAGACGCCAGAGATCTTAATATTTCCGAGATTATATATATATATTTTTCTTCTTGATAGAGGACGACAGCCAAGCATGTGGTTGATCTTGATCTTAGGTGAAATACCTCGGTCCTATAAAACATTCCGATCTATTTTGGCTTTGGATATTCGGAATTACACAGCTTGGAACCGAAACTCGATTAAACTTCATGGCTTTTTCATCTGTGGACTGTAGAAGTAAAAAGAAAAAGACACATACATTTAATAGATCATTTATAGAGCCTCATTTTTTAGATATCTTGAGCCGTTTTCGCGCACAAAGAGCACGCAACGAAAACCCCTAATGATAAATAATTTTCCTCGTCTAAATACTGTCTATAGTTTACGTGAGTAGTACACATTTAAATAAAACACTTTAACTGTTTAAAACGCGATATATTAGTTAAACTTATTTGAAAATGATTTTTAACTTCGACGTTTCGGATGCTTTGCAGCAGCCGTGGTCACGGGGAGACAGACTGCGAAGCATCCGAAACGTCAGGCCGTGTTTTATTTAAATTTCCCCGTTTAATCTTCCATATTTCCCACTTTGCCTTCACTACTATTTGTCGCATAGTAATATTTTAGATTGCCTTCCTCGATAAATACTCTAACCAACACAAAAAGAATCGAACCAGTAGTCCCTAAGATTAGCACGTTGCAGCAAACACACTCTTCACCTTTATATATTTTATATCCAGATTTCCAAATGAAATTCAGTATGTTTCAGAACATTTAATACCTAAGACTAATGCAGACATGTGTTCGTAGTCTTAAATAAAGGTTTAATCTTCCACACTTGCAAGACTTACTGACTTCACTTTAGTAAATTATTGAAGGATGCTGTAATTTTGCGAATATCCACTTGATTGTAGCGCAAACAGTAAAAAGGATGAGGTATTATCTTCTCTCATTTCTCTATCTGTCATTTCATTAGGAAGTAGTTGGTTAATTTAGATGGCGATAGCGAATTGCTGAATGGCCCATGATTCACATCACATATACCCACTTCAAATGTGACGGGGTCGTAGGTCCAAAGGTATATTTAATAATCAAAACTTCGTTGGTTCATTTCTAACCGATTATAACATGTTTCATAGATCAATATCATTCAAAAAATTCTTAAACTTTTTTAGAACAATCTGAACTTTCAACAGGTGGTTATTTTTTATTTTAGAGGGTTGATCTCTAAAACAACAAAATCTGTTTTAAACGACCAAAACCTTCGGCTTTAATTAATAATGTAATTTCGATAAATTCGATATATTTTATTATATTTCAATTTAATTTCAAATACTTTTAAAGATATAACTCGCAAAAAAAAAGTATGTTATCTTTTTTTTTGCGATTCACAATTTATTTTAACTACGGCACAACGCGACGTTTCGGTTGTTGTGCAGCTGCCGTGGTCACAGGGGAACCGATAAAAAAGTTTTATTTAAATGGGTACTAGTAACGTAAATTGCCGACACTATTATATTGTTTTACAAGTCGTCGTGTGTAAAAATACGTAACTGCGGTTAGTGTTACCAGTACTCAGTAGTAGGTACTAAGTCTAAAGTATTTGTCAACACACGAATGAAGAAATGCTTTAGTTTATAATTAATAATAAAATTACACCTAGAACGTAATTCTAGAACATGCTTCTAGTAATTTTCTAGTTTATGACGCTTTGAAAAATCTAATTAACTTTACACCACCATTTTGCACACGACGCTCCTAAGAAATCATCTTTTGCTTGCTAACAATATCATTATCCAACATAAAACAAAATTAGTTGTCATAAGAGAGTTGGAAGTCTACTAAATGTCTGAGTCCGTATGGCCTGATACTCAAATGTTACTACAAACCGCTTTACTCGTAACAGGGCTTTGTGTGAGTGCACGTGTACCGATGCTTAAATAGATATCGCTTTGTAATATTCAAGATTTTTATTGCTCTCTAGACAGCATAAAGAAATAAATCTAGTCTCACAAAATAGCATGAAGTTGGAACTAATAATAATTCATTATTATAATTTACTGCTGAACAGACAGATTGTGTTTTTTTTTTTCAATTATAATGATATACATTTTTTACAACTTACCAATCGTCACTCAATGAGGAAAAGTATATGCCTATAGCTTTTAAGGTCAAGACCTAGTTATAGATTTAAGTAAAACATGAGACATCATTTGCCGGTCCACATTTATTCTATATTCATTAGAAAATAATGCAAGTATTCGTGTCTGATGAAAAATGATCGCACACTTAGACTTCGCCTGGAAATATATCCAATTTACGAATCAATCAAACGCAGATAGTGTTCAAGTCTCAAGGTCAAATTTTAACATCGATTACTCGACTATTGTTCATACACTATTTATTATCAAACTTGTATAGCATTTATTGTTCCGGCTTATTGTAATGTGCATCGCTTATGAAAATGATAAAATACGTGCATATATTATCGCTTCTGAAATTATTTGTAAAACATTCAAATTCTCAAGACACTAAAAGTGACCTTTGGTACAATTCATCAACTCAGTTTTCTTTTGTTTCAGCCCTGGTAGGCTCATTAACGTTGAGCACGACATTTCTTCTGTCACCAGTGTCCGGTCTTCTTACTGGCTTCTTGGGCTTGCGGCTGACTGCTGTCCTCGGTGGGAGCCTCGCTACAGCCAGCTTAATTATCACTTCCTTCGTTGTCGACCGGGTCGAGGCTCTATATTTTACTTACGGCATTATGTATGGCGTCGGCGCTTCGCTTGCGTATACGCCCTCGTTAGCGATCCTCGGTCATTACTTCAAGAAGTATCTGGGGCGCGTTAATGGCTTCGTCACTATCGGAAGCGCCGTCTTCACCGTGATCATGACGCCCACCATGAAGTATGCCATCGACAATTACGGTTTGGAATGGATGTTTAGAATGCTTGCCGTCATCACATTTGGGATAGCGTTATGCGGCTTACTTTTCAAACCGATTCCCGTTGTGGTCATAGACAAACCATCTGAAGAAACAAACACCTGTAAAACCATTATGAAGGTTATTTTTAACGTAGACATCTGGAAGATTCCCAGATATAGGTTATGGTGTATATCAATGCCGATAGCTCTGTTCGGGTATTTTGTACCCTACGTGTATATGCAGAACTTTGTCAAAGAAACCTTTAAGGATACGACATCCACCCTCCCTCAGCAGTGTGTAGCGGCTTCGTCTGGTATAGGCCGGTTGATGTTCGGCTATCTGGCTGATAGGGATGAGGTTAATAGCATAGTGTTACAACAGATTGCATTGTACGTCATCGGAACTCTGACGATAATTTTGCCATTTGTGACCTCGTTTGAATTATTGCTTGTCGTCTGCGTGGGTATCGGTTTATCTGATGGTGGGTTCATTTCGTTAATAGGTCCTATGGCGGTGGAGTTTTGTGGTAGTGCGCTTGCTGCTCAAGCGATAGGTACTATATTGGGACTTTCGGCTGTCCCGGTGTCGGTTGGTCCACCGGTGGCCGGGTATCTTTTTACAGTGTACAAATCATTTACGCTACCGTTTGTCTTAGCTGGTATTTCTCCGCTGGTTGGTTCTACTTTGATGTTTATTATTCGCTGCCAGACTCGAAAAAGAGATACAAAAGGATCCAGGACGAACGGCCACGTATCTCCTACATCTGACATAGGTAAGTAATTTTGTTTAATTTATAAACTATTGCAATAACGGTTGTAGGAGAATTACATGAAAATTTTGCTAAAATTAACGACAGGTGGTGATGAGTAGAACTTTAAAAATTTAACCATTGTATTTCTCTCTAAGCTATCTAGACTGTGGTTAATTTACAGTTCTAATAAAATTTTGTTAAATTTGATCTTCAGATATTATATTAAAGTACCAATAAATCATTTTAATTGACACATTCATTCGATTTCAGAAAACCCGCCGTTGCTTCGGCCAAACGGGGTTGGCCAGCAGACATCTTTATAACATCGGCTAGAATGGTTACCCGAACTAGATAAAAGTTTTTCTGAACTGAATCTCGTACAACTCTCTATGTTAGTACAAATCTTATCTGTCAATTTTGTCGTGGTAAAATTAGGTTAGATATCTTCATTGCATAATGTTATCAATAACGAAAGAAAACCATTAAATACCAAGCACAAAATCATTTACAGTTGTAGAAGATTATTATTTGTTGTTGATAACTTTTCTAACTAATGTAATGTATCCGAAATTGATAATAGTTAAAAAAAGCAGTAAATATACTTGCAATTTTATTAATATAACCAGACCAGAGAAATGTTCTTAATGTTACACTATTCATTTTAATTGCTAGCTGTTATCAAAAACACGACTAGAATGAGAAAATTAAAAACTTAACATTGCAAAAAATGCTAAGTATTATTTGGTACTAGCGTACCGCAATTTTATTTGTATGAACATACGTACGTAATTGCTGACAAAAACTTATTTATTCGACGTTCTTATTTTTATAAATGTCTCTCTGCTTCTTTAAGATCTTAAACGTTCTTTTTTTTGAAAAAAAAAAAACAATGCAATAATGCCTAATATTTCTTCATATATTATGAACCGTGACTAATTAGCTTAAAATCGTTTTTATTTGTTCAACGAGTATTGATCTAGATTATAAAATAAATAAATTAATATTTATTCAGCTGATATATACTTTGTCGTTATATATATGTGGTGATCAAATATTTCTGCGTTTCTTAAAAAAATTGTAATGACTTGAGATTGAACTTTTGAAATCCCTTACAACAATCAAACATGTTTACAATCGTAAAAACCCATGTAACACAATAATACTTAGTTATAAAAAAAACAAAGGAGTATCTCCAAAAAATGTTGCTTAACAAATAAAAAGAAACAAACAAATTGTTTTTATATTTATAAATTAATAATCTGTTTAGATTAAAATTAACGTATATAAACAACATGTAAAAAATCAAGAAAACAAAGTTATGAATTGTTAGTTCCTGTTTAAAATATGGCAAAGGTTTTTAATGAATTCAATGTTTTATATATGAATGCGAAATTTTATTTTAATATTATTAAATTAGTTACATTTAATCCCTCACTATCTAAATAAATTAAGATTCATGTGGAGATATAGATATATTGAGGCCAACCGACTATCAAGCAAATATTAAAGTTGAGTACTTAATATGGCTGATTGTTTTTTAGTTATTTTAGTAATTTTTAGAATATATTTCCAAAATGGTTCTTTATGGTTATTATTTAGGATAATTATAAAGTTAGGTGAGAAAATGTGATGTGAAATGTGAATGTTCGGTGCTATAAAGAGTCTATTATTGAGAAATACGTATTTTGACACTTTATTTTACCCTATAAGGTTATATCGAATATTTTTACACAGTATATTAAAATATATTTAATCTCTGCTGCCTACACAATGTTGCCAGGTTGATAATTAAATAGAAAACCAAATAATGTTTCAATTTGGCACTTAAATTTGAAAGTCATTAATTTATATTGTAATTTTTTGAGGCTCGTTTTTTTGAACGCTACAAAAACCGCATTTACATGATGGTTTGCCTGTGAAAATTTTGTTAATAAGGAAACGAACTAGACCATTTGCATTTTTATCAAAACAGTGTACAAATGTATGACGTTATTGTGTTAGAATGTTAAATTAGTACTTTTTAGTTACCTTTATAGTTCCTATTTTATAGTATAGTATCATATAATGTACCGGAGATAAAATAAACAGATGTGTCTATTTATAAGTTATATAGATAAATAAGCAATTTGGTATTTTAAACATGCTATTGAGGATTACTATGCTATAATCATTTTTATAGTTTTTTAAAATCATCTGTCTGTAGTTTACGCGAGTAGTACACATTTAAATAAAACATTTTAACGATATAAAACACGGTATACTTATATTAGTTAAACTTATTATAAAACGAAAATTCAGCTGAAGCGGGCCGTAGTAAAAATATTTTTAGAATAAGTTTAACTAATATATGTAATGTTTTACACTTTAAGTATTTTATTTAAATGTCTGCTTCCTATAAAACGAACGACACATAAATTGTGTAAGGCTTTTACGGCCATCATCAGGAGCCGGCCACCCGTGATGGCGACTCGTCGAGAATCTCTTCTCGCTCACGTCGGCCCAACAGCCCGCAATGATATGAAGAACGAGACAGTACGTCAGGCAGCCGTTACGTTTTCTCTATTCGTTAATTTGTCAAATAATTTGAGGGATGATTATATTACTATAAGAAATGTTCCTTTTTATTTTTTTTGGATTACTTATGAATGTGCAATGAAAGGAGGTTTATATTTTATGGTATTTCAGTTTCACATATCGAAATAGAATTCTCCTCAGTCCATACTTTACCTATGTAAAATATTATTGACATAATATATATGTTACAAAACTTGGAATGAAGCTGTTTTCCTAGCTACGCGAAAATAAAATTCATAATAGGTATACCTAGTTTAAATTGTACATAAAATGATAAGAGTATATTTTCCTTATAATTGTTGTCATTTTACTGCAGAAGAATGCCTATGTTAGCTATTTTAGCATTAGTTATGTGTAGTATAATTATGTTTAATATAAAATTTTGTATTTGTTTTGGGTTTTTATGTTACATAATTTCGATAAAGCCTATATTATTTGGTAAATCTTAGGTATTAGTCGGTTTCATTTATGTAGTACAAATCGTTCTACTTTTATATACAATCTAAATATATTTTTAATTTATAAAATGTTTGAAGTGGGATGATTCAGAAATATAAAAAAAAGTATGTGTGTTACAAATGATAATAATAAAGTTATATTTTATGCTAAAGATAATATCCTAGTATCAATTTGAACCCATTACATAAATAAAGAATTGCCTTTCTCTTTAACAGCTTAATTCGCCTAACTGTTAAATTATTCGACAAATAGTAATTGTAGGCCCCTGGGTGATGTTTTCTACTTCTTATGTTCTAGGTTCAATATTAAAAATTGATTCCAACGAGTACGTGTAACTCTTTTACCCAATGATAATGAAACAGCTTACATGACAGAATAGAAAAACAGAGGTCTTCTTTCTCATATATTATAGATGTCATCGATTAAATAACTTTACTAAGCTATACCATAGTCTGAAAAATCCCATAGGTCGTGGTGCATGTTCTATAATTGAGTTATTAGCATCACTGCTAAACGAATGCACTCGCATTTCCACTTCCTCGTATGATGGAGAGTTCGTTTTCTGTGTGGCCCATCTCAACGGTTTTGACAGCCTAAAACAAGAAAAATAATACTAGGACAATTTCATTTTCGCCTAATTGCGAATGTTTATTTTCCCCCTTATTGAAAATCATGTTTTTTAACAGGCCAATATCCCTCTAGCAGCCTCATTGTATGCCCTATATAAAAATAAAATGAAATCCCGTTTCCCCCTCGTGGGGTATGGGGCGAAGATATTTTTGTGCCCGTTTCACTAATCCGTTCTTTTAACAGGCAAGTAGTTTATCAGACTTCTTTGCCCTGCCTGACCGAAACAATTTTATGTTTCCCTGGGATTTGAACCCAGGACCTTTCGCGCTTAACGCAATGCTAGGCAATACGTTTAACCATTTGGCTACAGAGGCGGTCGTGCCTCATATATATAACTAATTATTTTTTATTAATTGTAACATCTTGGCTAAGAGACAGTTTAAGGTGTAATATGTATTTAAATTATATAAGAACGATACGGCTCGTAACTATTATCCAACAAATTATTTTTAAAGATTTTTTAAGCCATTAGTCCGTTTCCATCCCATGTTGACTAATAACCTATTCCTTAAATTCGTTAAGGGGCGAATCTCGCAGATGCATCAAAAAAATTTTAAACACTCACTCTGAAAAATAGTCCATATCTCTAATTGTATCTGGCAACTCTCTTGCATCGACATCCGGTAATACAACGCACAGTGTTGTCACAAGCAGCACTGCGATGACAAGCAAAATAAGTACTGTCAAGTCTTGTAGATACAGTATTAAGAGGTAACATGTTATGGTTCCTATTTCTCCAGCAGAATAGCAGCATCCGACGAGCGTCGCTCTAGCTATGAGGGCAAGGAGTCTTGGTGTCATATTGAAAAGTAACGCGTAGCTTACCAGGCCTGATGCCACACCCAATGCAGCGGTGAATTCAATAAGAAGGATCTACAAGGAGAAGGATCTTACTTAAACTTAAATTTAATCAATATCAATCCAGTAGTGCGTTGCATGGATCCTAGATGGCGCTGCCGGCGTGTATTTCTTGGTTATAGATTCTTAAGTTAGAATCAAAAATCTTATGGAGCTTATATATTTTAGGTATATTTTTTACTTCGATTTAATATCATTGAAAGGTTCGTAAAACAAAAGCCTTCAAGTTTTCTAAGCTAAAAAACGAAGTTTAAATCATTTTATATTTGTAACTTGTACGTAACGTGTATTTTTTCCTTTTGGTGACCGCACTCATTTGTCAAATTCGAAGTTTGCAAATAAAACAAACAATTTCTGTGAGAAGTTATTGTCTTTTTGTATAAAGATACAAGATGCATTAAATCAGACAGCATCGGCTCAACATTGAATATATATACCATAATCAGAATCAACGATAAGGCGTTTAAGTGTAAAAATAGGTACATGGTGGAGCCATCGTCAGGTATTTTTGTATTTCAATTTAAGTTTTAGGAGCTTGAATGTACATTTTGTTTATGCTATAATAAAAAAAGAACTGGGCAGTTAGTAAATTCATTTTAAATATTCTTTTTGCGAAATTTCGTAAAAATTTTACCGATAACTTATAAATCTTAATGTGACTCGGTAGCTCAATTAGTAGAGAAACAGCACGGAACGCTGACGATGCCGGTTCAAGTCCTGCCCGAGTCGAAAAAATTTTTTTTTCAATTTATTTTCGATTTTTAAATTACTTTTGTCTTTTCATCCTACCACATTAAGATTTATAAGTTATCGGTGAAATTTTGATTTCAATTTATTTTCGATTTTTAAATTATATAGTGCCTTCATGTGCAATAACATGTGAAAAATATTAATGTTTTCAAACGAGACAAAAGTAATTAAATATTAAACAAAACACTTGTTTAAATTAGTGTCGTTTAAATGTTATACTACTCGCGTAAACTACGGACAGTATCTTTGATTCAAGTACTGATTAGTCGCATAGAAACGATACATTATTTATAAACTTGTTGCAATTCTGACGTTGATTTAAAGTTAATAACATAAGTGCGATAAAAACAACATCTGTAAACCAGTATCTAAATATAGTTGTTGAGTTTCTAGCTGCATTCTTAGTTATTAAAGTTGATAATTATGAGTCGATGTTTGAGGCGCTTTACCGTCCGAGTCGTTTAAACACAATCTCCATTAAATAATAACGCCTGCTTTAAATATATAGCAAAGTACTTTAAATTAGCACATTCTTATCGTTCATAATATAGTATGAGAAAACAGCTAAATACGAGCTTGACTTTTGCATGGATGGTTCCGTATCATTATTGTTATAGATAGTGGCAATAGAAATATGATTAGTAAAAATTTTAATTCTCTACAAACGCTGAAGTCTTAGTAACAGCATATGAAAGAGCTGCGTTTTGGATGCTTTGAAGCATCAAAGCATCCGAAAACTTGTGCCTTAGTTAATTCCTGTTTAAAAATGTTTTGCTTAAATGTGTAATACCCCCGTAAACTACAGACAATATTTAAATACATATCAATACTTTTACTGTTTTGTTCCCTTAACTTTTGTCGTTGAAAAAATATGTGGTCCAAATTATTTTTTCAATTTTAATTTTATTCATGTTTATTATGTATTATACTTACATTAAGGCACATCCTCTTTGCAATAATAACAAAAACACTTGCAATTCCCAGTACTACGACATTGAGAATCACAAGACATCTCATTTTCATCTTTTTTGCAAGACCAAAGTTAAGCACTGCCATAAAAACGGTCATAGATAGAACTTGCAATAGCATGAATTTGTTTTGCTGTCTGTACATATCTATGTATGTCGGTGCCCATACAAAGTGGAATAAGGTCCAAATTAGAATGGTGGATGACACGATCACTCTTACGTTACGGGTGCTGAGAATAGACAGACAAGTCCATTCTTCATCTAGGCTTACGTAAGCCTGAAAATAATTAAAATGCAATGTGAGATGAGAAATTTATGGTGAAGGAAAGAGTTAAACTCCATTTCCCCCCGTGGGGAATAAGAAACACATTTGTGTCTGTTACATTTATTGGTTTTATAGTTGATTATATATAAAGAGCGTCAGTAATTGAAACACTCTATTGTTTACCCATGATTCGAATCTAGGACCTCTCGTTCTTAACGCAATCGTTTAGCTATAGAGCCGGTCTGGTTAATAAAACATGTTAGTATAAAGTATTGATTCTTTACTAGTACTGTAAAAAGTTTAATAAATAGTAAAATATGTTTTCTACATATATAAGGTAAGATTAAAGAGTTGTTTTAACTATTTGTAGTTACCGGCAGTTTTTTGCGGTTATTACGCAAATCTTATCTTACTGTTGAAGCGTTTTATCATTAATATAAATTATATATGTAATTGTTATAACAGTAAACACATTAGTAATTAGCAGATACGCTTGAAAGTGTTGAATGTTAATTGTCACTTACAAGTTGTGAATTAGGTACTATTTTAAAGTGTCGATCGAAAAGTTAACTCATCTTTTAATGGTAGTTGGTAGCTCAAATACGAATATTAAAACCAAAAGTTCAAGAATAGAAAGTCAAAGGAATATTAAACATAAAATTTTAGTTTAAATAAAACACTTTAACGGTTTAAAACGCGATATATTAGTTAAACTTATTTGGAAATGATTTTTAACTTCGGCCCAACGTTTCGTCTCCCCGTGACCACGGCTGCTGCAAAGCATCCGAAACGTCGGGCCAAAGTTAAAAATCATTTCCAAATAAGTTTAATTAATATATCGCGTTTTAAACCGTTAAAGTATTTTATTTAAATGTGTACTACTCGCGTAAGCTATAGACAATATAATCTTTTAGTGTTTGCTTTTGAAATAATATAGAATAGCTATGTTATGTTTTAGACATCCAAAATTCACAGGTTGTAATGGAAACTCGATTATACGAACAGTGGTCCACGAGCAGGACGTAATGTCGCCATTTCTGCTACGCATTTAATACGTAGATTTAAAGAAAAATTCTAACATGTTTTAAAAAATGTATTTTTTTTAGACATATACCCTCGATTATTAGCCATAACACCTATTGGCCTAAAGCCAATTAGCCCGTCTCTTGTTTTTAAACACCCACAACTTCTAAAGTAGGTAACCCACGTGGCATTGAACTTACGTTATCACATTTAAAAATAAACTTAACCCGAGCCATACCTACTCTGTGGTCAACAGGTCGTATTTTGAAGTCACTGCACAATTTTACGTCATTTTTATTTGCGGCAACGACAAGATTTTTCTCGGCTAGTGGTATCCTTCTGTTGTATAGTAACCATTGTGGTGATTCAGGTATCCATCTGCCAAATTTAATTAAAAATCAAATAACTAATAATAATCAAAACTGTACTGTAAATCAAATAGACAAGAGAAAAAGTTTAGATATAGTCCGGCAGAACTTCGCCCCTGGGAGACCACAGATGTTGCATGTGAAAAATCAAGCCGAAGTTACGAAATAAATAATATACTCCTAGTTTTAAACCGTTGAAATTGTTTCATTTAAAATCTGTGATCCGTTAAGTTATACTAAATAAAATTGCGATTGCAATACTTATTAAAATTGCGCGAATCAGAACACTTCTTATCGTTATATTTTCAGTTCAGTGTAACTTTACGATTATTATCTATGTTTACGAAATAAACAGATAAAACTATGTCTGCGTGATATATATTTTAAATATAAAATACATATGAGCAATAACTTTAACACAATTTTAATCAACCAGGTCGTTTTATGGCAATTAACAAGGCATTGCGTGTGCGAATTTGTCCCGCGTTCGAAACTCGATTAGAGAAAAAGGTTCTATTCCCCTCGTAGAACTTCATTAAAATAACATATGTCAAACCTATGTTTATGTACAAAGTACATAAACATAATATTCTATACTTTTTACAGCTTACCTAACAAGACATAGTGGTATCAATCCAACCAAAAAAGCTATAAAATTATACGTCTCTTGATTTAAAGCAATGTTAGCTGCGGGTATTGCGCAAATTTTCGACAGCAATTGCGGAAGTAAGACAATCGATGTGAGTAAAGTTCGCCAACTATTGCTCGCTATTTCGCATACTGAAAAAAATAATTCATGAAGTGCGTATGCATTAAGCGTCATTTTGATCGTACCTACCATCTTTTGCGTTTTATGCAAAGTAAAATATTAGCTATTTATTTTAATAACAGTCTCTATAATAATTACTACATGTAATAACGCAAACATTGCTTTTAAATTTTGAATGCAGGACATTGGAACCGGTAAGACACAAAAAATAAAACGTTGAATGGGTTGAAAAGCAATATCTATTTTTAACAACGACTCGACGTTTAGGTTACCTATCCAGTGTCGTGAATATCGATGTCAGGTCAGTTAAAAACTAAAATACCGTGAAAAGGGTCTAATTCGAAAATTTTCTGTCTACCTCTCATGTAAACTATAGACAATAGTTAAAAAAGTGTTTGTTTTATAATCCTTTAAATAGAAGTCTCTAGTTAATTAACCACCATAAGTCCATGTAGCTAACCTTGAATCTACTATTGATATTGATATTTTCCCACGGGAGCATTACTCGCAATTAATTCCCGAAGTCACGTCACGTAATCGCAAGCCACGATCGTGTCAACACGTTTCTTAGTTGGATTTTATTTCCTTACTTATATATGTATATTTTCCTATACACTTTAAATGACGCAATTCCCTCTGTCCGCTTCAGAAATCGATTTTATTTACAGAATTGTTGAAACACTTTTGTGCCCTGCCCGACTGAAGCAATCTATCGTTTTACGAGGCTTGACCACTCCAGTTTAACACAATGCTAATTAATTATTGATGATGAGCAACTACCTACAGACAGATATTATATTTTTTAGAACAGTTTTTTTATAAAATGAGTGTCAGAACTATATATACCAATAATAACCCACCTAATATCAATTCTAAGTAATGATTGGAACTTGCAAATAACGCTTTTAGGAAGACCAGCAAACGGTACCAACTTTCGGTGGTGCAAAATGCGAGAGCGATCCTCAAAATTACTTCCGCCACTATATTTATTATAATCGCCAATCTTCTTCCGAAACTGAAAAATTTTCATATATTAGTCGTACATAAAATATGAATTAATCTTAGGATCTATAATCATATCCATAAGTTTAAAAATACATGTATTTGGTTGTTCTTTTACTTAACAATATATTTATCTATACTCCATCTTATTATAAAGCTGTAGAGGTTGTTTTCGTTGCGTGCGCTGCGGAAACGGTTCAAGAAACCAAAAAAATATATAAGAGTGAATGATTCCTCTTTAAATAATCTAAATAAATGTCTGTCGCAGTATATGTATCTTTTGAGATTAAGTTGCAAGAACGACAGCACGCGGACGACGTCATGGGTAACAGTTTAAATTTATAAAGTTGAACGGAAGGTTTTCACAAAAAAATGTTGATGCACAGAATAACTACTACGAGGACGAAGTTGCTGACACAGCTAGTTCAATAATATAATTTAATCTTAGATTCTACACAACATATTCAATTAGTGAAAAATATGTGTAGCTTAGTTTTTATTTAACAATATATTTATGTAAAATATTTTACTATAGCGGGGCTTATATTATATTGTTATTTTAATACTTACGCAAACGAATATTACCACAGAAAAACAGACATTTACAGGATGCTAAAAAGAAATAATAAATTAAGTACCTGTCAGATAGAACCCCAAAAAATATACATCCAAACACCAAACCTAGGCGACAGATCACTGTTGTAGATAAAAGCTTCATTTCTTGGTCGCAAAATATTTGCCACTGTAAAAAAAAAGAAGAAAATAACTACTCCAAGCAGTTTTTACACATTTGAATACTCTTAAGGTAGCAAAAACATTTTCATATGATAAGTTGTTAGTACAGGAAAATACCAGTGATGTACGTGATAATCACAAATCCCATTAATCTCAATTAATATAAAACCTAAACAAAGTCAGCACTGTTTGGATTTCAAACAATTAATATGTTCTTTTCTTAAACTGGGACTAGATAAGATAAAATTTTCTGCGTCTGTCCAACAAGTTTAAATACATATTAAAAAGTACTGAACCGATTTTGATGAGGTTCCTTTAAGAAATTATGTCGATTTTGTTTTAAAACAATTAGGATCTTGGCATATACGACTGTATATGTAATGTAATTGACTAATTAGTCATACCTTTCTTTCAATCCAAAAAATCCACATAAGATTAACTCGCCAAGTATCGCAAGGTACTTCTGACCCATTTGTGGTGGTATACACACAAAAAGTCATGTTCACACTTTCAAATTGAGGTGCACACTTGACACCACGAGACGGCTGCAACAGGAACGCATCTTCATATTGATCGAATACGGTGGGAATAACCAATATGGTAGACAAAATGGTCACCATCCATTGCCACCTGCCAATTTTGCCCAAAACATCCGTTGTTACGTCTTCATGTATTGTGCCAATACTGGAAAATATTATATTGGTTAATTAGCGTGATGTGATTTCTAGCTAGGCTTATTATGAAAGATCATATCCTTTCTGGGAAAACCCACACATTTTAATATTAATATTAGATAGTTTGGGTTATTTAATTTTTTTTACATAATTTTTTAATATACGACAGAGTACAAATTTAAATGTTATGTTAAATATAAGTACTTAATCTTTTCTATTTTTAACCAACTACTGGGGCCAAAAGATTCGGTCATCTACAGAAGGATCACGGGGCGTCTTAGCTTGTTACAAGTTTCGACAAGATCCAACTGACCAAGTAACTTATTTCAAGAGAATGTCTACCCTGAATAATTATTAAATAACTACGCAATAAGCTGATATGATATCAATTAAGCAATTATGTAATACGAAATTCGGTCTCACATTGACATTGTAGTCATTATCTTCTTTACATAATCTTATTAGAGGTTCTCAACCGATGTTACGTCATTTTCTTGGCTAACTAGATTAACACCGGGGCAATAGTTTAGTTTGAACACGTGAAGCATTTGAAAAATCCTTCTCTTTAGAAAAATCACTAAATGTAGATAAATTTCTTAGTTCGTCTTCGTTGAGTTATGAGTGAACCTTGAAAATGCAGGTTGGTTATAAAATATTGACATAGCATTGATAAGGTGTAAAACTCACGTTTTAGCGTCGATATTACGTTTATCTTTTTCATTATGCTTATAATGCCAGGCTTTATAGAGACCGCGGGGGGTTATATTATCTATGAATCGAAATTCATAACTAATAATATTATTTCAACAATAATACGTTAAGAAAAATTTGAGCCATTTCTATATTATTCTGAGAATTAAAAACTGATATTTGCTCAATCATAAATTAGGGGACTGTTCGATAGTGGTTGCTTTAGTCCTTGATTAAGTAGTGTTAAGTGTTGAACAATTATTTTAAAAGCAATTTGTATAGCATAAAACCTACTTGTTAACGGTCAATGGGCGAGATACTTTTTCTTAGATAGGCAGACTCGAACGAAACATACACTTAACACATGACTTAAAAATACAACATTATCCACAATTTTAATTTTATAGGAAAATCGTAAAAAAAAATTAAGCAATTATGTAAGGGACCTTTAACTCACCCGACATTATATATATATATATATATATATATATATACATATATGCATAAGTTGATCCATAGTTAGCAATTAAAAAAATATTTTTACAAACAAAATAAATTAAAGGTAATTATGTAATAGTACTCCTGACCCAAACTCCATTTTGTTCTGAGTTGAGTGCGTCCGTCATTTAATAAGGATAGTAGGTGGCGGGTGGCGGAATCTCAGTGGAATTTTTATGTCACTTTTATAACTACGCGGCTATATTTGTACTTAGTGAAAGGTCGTTGACCAATCGAGAAATAATATGCAATATTGTGACGTGTATTGCCAGATATATTGACAACATATTTTTCGCTTATAACATTTTTCAAAACCTCGTTTAACGATTATGCGTTCAAACCAAATAGTTTTTTTTTATTAATTGAACCAGTTTTTATCAATCTTATTAGTATTCCAATGGAGTTATAGGAATTTTACTAGTAGGTACCAGACGTCTGTAACTATAAAATATATGATAATATTAATTTACATATATAATTGTTTTATTTTAGACTAATTATTAGTTTTCGTATTGTTTTTTGCAAAATTAAAATGATAGGTATGAAAACTCCTTGGTGATTGTTTTAAAATGGCGCCTTAAAAAGTTTGCGAAAAATTTGTGGCCAGTGACTAGTGTATGACCACAGACCACACAGGATTGCTCTGCTGTCGTATCAGTTACTTGGTGTAATATAACGGGCTAGTATCAAGGTCATTTAAATTTATAAACGTGATAATATTGTGTACGAAGAATACAGATTAACATTAAAATTGATTTCATATAACGTGAAAATATTTAGACATTTGCCCTTTTACAAAACGGGAATAAAACAAACTATCTATAACTGAGAATTTGATGAGAAGAAAATTTGATATCTATTTATTACTATTTATCTAGATATGGAAGCAATTGGCCGTTTGCAACGGGTTTTTCTAGTGTCTAAGAAAATATAATCATTGAATATCAAGTCGATTTCGTTTTGATTTATCCTCTTTTGTTTGATTTGAATCGAGTTTACTAAAATATATTTACCTATCTTTTACAAAAGTGTCACTCGAGTGTTTTTAAATTTTCTTTCTAATTTTTGAGTTATCAGAGAATTATCTTGGCATAAAATATTATTCGGAAATAATCGTTACTTAATATTTAACAGTTTTATAACCTCTATAATACGAATACGTATATAATCGCATTTAATAGGTTTATCAATCTTCTAAAGAATTGGGTACTGTAATTTGTGTATTATTAACAATTATAATTCAACAAGTAGCCGTGACAGCGGCGGCCTCGTTCCTTCCCGACTATCTAAACGCTTCTAACCCTTCAGCGTTATCACGAAAAAACACGTGGAGCGAATAAGGTTATGTTGTCAAAGACATCTGCGATAAGGCGCAGCTTTTGGGACCGCGATCCGGCGCGGGCCGAGCGTCGATAAACGTTTACCGTTCATTCGTGGCACCGCCGCCAAAGGGGCCAGGCGTCGTTCTGACAGTTCATGTGATTACAGCAACTGAAAATACCCGGGAACGCGAACATGGACAAGGAACACGCCCTCGAGGAAATGATGGGGAAGCTGGGTGAGTGCTTTTTGTACTGTGACGTGTAATCGGCGCTTGACCTACCATATGTTTATGTTGCGGACACTTGAACTTTCATTTGTACAGTGTTAAAATCGGTGTTTTTGCGAAGTACGTGTAAGCACGATGTTCAGTTGCCTACTTTAGTTAATTAAAATCGTTTTGTCATTTTCACTTGGCACAACTATCGATAATTGTTGATTGTTCGTTTACTTTTTGCGATGGTCAAATTACTTTTTACTTAGTTTTTTACAATCAATTTGTGACCATCTTCATCAGGTAAAACGAGTTACAGATTTTGACAGTGCAGATTAAATTTTGATCGATATTTTTACTTATCCTTGGACAATTCGTGTACGAGTGTTCACGGTTGCAAGAATAGCTTAAAAAATCAATTATCGATTTTAAAGGTACTTGTCATTAATTTATCTCGTTCTTAATAACCCTTTAAACCTTTGAAAAATTCAAAGAACCTAACAAGGTCGACTGTAATTAGGTTGAATAATAACTTTGTAGATGTTCTTTTGTTTATGAAAAATGACTAAGTAGTAGTAGTTTTACACTGCAGATATAATGTTATTTTTTCTAAGGATTTACAAATTTACTTACATACATGAAAAACAACTGTGCCTGTTGTGTATGATAGGAGCTATGTCATACTTGTAAATGTAAATTAACATAATGTTATATTATCTTTTTTATTACTTAGTTAATTAAATATTTATATACTATGTTCATATAGGCATCTAAATCTACTTTGACTTAGCAAAAAAAATGGAAGAAGATTCGTATATCGTCTTCCAAATACTAAGCAACGTATCTGGACGCAGTGACGCGCACCAGCAAAGTCTTCCACGAATTTGTTTATTTATCGATTCCGTTAGGTCGTGGGTCGAAACTCTATGCATAAAACATGCTTAGTGACTATAAGTGTAAGGCAATACAAGACAGAACAATTAACTATAAACTATTGTTAAGCAAAGAAAACGTAATCCCGGTACTCGCTACTTCGAAATTGTACCTAAATTTTTATTATCTATCTATTAATATCTATTATTTAAGTGGCGTTATTGTTACTGCCTTTCACTTGATAAATATTACAATGACTGTTGTTATGAAATAGTGATAAGACAGATATATTACTTTTATTATTATGGTGATTATACCTTAAGTTTTGAAAATACTACTTAATATTGTAGCTTTTATGATATCACATAGAAATAGATTTAGACTTAATAGATTGTTTTTAGGTAATCACAATTTCCGCTTCTGGCCAAAAAATTATGATTTTTATGATTGTCTTATCAAAATCTGTTAAGTAGTTTCATGATAGATTAACAAACATTAATTCGTATTATGGTAACATTGCGATTATAAAGTATACGATGTCCCTTGTCATCTCAAGTGATAAGAGTTATCAGTTAATCATTAAAGAATTCCGAGCATTGTGGGGTCGAGTCTCGCTCTAGTCATATAATATTTATCTTAACAAAAAAAACGTGAACTTAAATAACGCTTAAAAATGTCATTGAGCACTTTAACCAATTATACATACGAAAATATATTGATTATTATAATATGGTGAATAAATTATTATTCAGCGAACATATTTTAACTAATACGCTGTGATGAAGAACAGCTGTACAAATTTCAACCTTATAAAAAATTACTACGTAATATTTTTTGTTGCAAAAGCCTCACTACCAGCTCCACACAGTTATAGTAGTATATCAAACGTTATTTTGGGGATCCAAATTCGTTTTTACAAGCTTCTTCATCTTTATAAACTTAAGCTGTTACCCACGACGTCAGTCGCGTCCCTTCCCGTCGTTCTTGCAAGTTAATCTTAAAAGATAGACATATCAATTCTTAGATTTTTTTTAGATTATTTTAAGTGGAATCATTTATTATTTTGGTATCTTTAATCGGTTTTGGAGCGTACGTCTCGGAATTTCATAGTGATGAATAATTTTCCCGTTTTATTCGCATTTCTCAATGTATCTTTGCTTGTAAGTCACAGGATCCTGCCTTCCTCCATAAATGTTCTAACCAACACAAAAAGAATGTTTAAATTCTAACCGGTAGTTCCTCAGATTAGCGCGTTCAAACAAACTCTTCAACTTTATATATTAATATAGATATAGTAAACTATTTTTAGTCTAAATTAAAAATTTTGTAGTTGGATACCTTATTTCGAATTATATTTATTTATTTATTAACTTTATTAGTTACATACACCCTACAACAATTTCGACTAGGTTATAACTTATACCAGTTTTTACTGTCCAAGTTAGAGAACCAGATATCTTATCACGTTACTAAAACGTAAAAACATAAGACGAACGGGAGCTTGACCCTACACAGATAGTACTCAAATCGCTCATAAAGGGAATAATGAACACAACCCATAGCTATATGTCAAGACGACGGACGACGGTTGTTTAACTAAAGGCTTGTTAGGATGTACTTAATAATTTTTACACGTTATTGCAAATGAAGGCAATATATATCGTTATCGTCAGCGTTCCGTGCTGTTGCTCTCGTTGTAACGCTGACGATGCCGGTTCAAGTCGTGCCGGAGTCGAAGTTTTTTCAATATATTTTCGATTTTTAAATTGTCCCCCATTTGCCATACGAAGACCGACTAGTAACCGTCCTTGATCTATCTTGAGACACACCACTAAAAAATAGCTGTAATTAAATAAATAAACGAAACATTTGAAAATATGAAAATAATATTTCCCCGGTTTTCGGTGTATTTTTTTTAAATTTTTTTTTTTACTTTATTTTATCTCAAGGTTGAATATTTTATACTTCAGTACTGATTACTCTTATCATTGACACTTTAAAACGATCTTCTATGTCAAGCAGGATTTTAGTGGACGTTACATACGAAGCATGATGATGATGGAGTATCCTTGAATCAGCGATATCATTTTACTGATTTTTACGCGTAAAACAGAATAATTCACTCGTGTATTGATCTGTTCTTTCAAATACAGCAAAGCATTTGACATGAATTGTTAATTTTTGCAAAGGCCTATTTATCAAACCATCTTATCCACAAAAACTATTTGACAGTCGTTGTTGTTGAGTTAGGTATAGGGTTGGCAAAATTGAAAGCCCTATTGTTAATTTGTCTCTGGTGTGCCCTAAAAAGTGTAAAACAAACGACGGAATAACTTACTCACTTTGTTGTCTTTACTTTTACACAGTACATCACAAGTAATCATCTTAATCATTCGTTTTTATTCACTTTAAACTTTACCTTATTTTTTAAATGCCGTTTACTGACGCCTAAGTAATCGTGATATTCGCACGCTAAATTAAATCAATGACGCCTTTAGTTACTGCAAGTGACCGTGGTAACTTGAACGCGGTGCATTATTCTCTATTATATATAATTTTCAAAAGATTTTATAAATAAATAGGCTAGATATGATTTCTATTTCTAAAAATTCATTTTTCATCGAAATTTCGCTATCTTTCATCAACTCTTAATCAAACAATTTGTAAAAACTTTCGTTTTCGTCGTCATTTATTTTCGCCCTTATTAAAACAAAAATAAAATTTAAATAGATATAATATTTGATACGTTTTCACATGTGCAAATTATAGTTCTATCAAAAAATTCGAATGGTAGTAGTAGTTGCATTAAATAATTTGTTTAACGCACTCGGCGCCAAGGCATTAAAACACAGTTTATTTCCACTTTCGAAATAGAAGCACGTTTATATGCAGTCGGTATTTAAAATGGCTAGCTGGAAGCGTGACAAATGCATGACAAGCATTACTTTAGTTACGTGTATTTACTACGGCTTACAATATAATATTTGCCTACAGCAGTTAAATTATTTAAACGTTATCTTCTTATACGTGTATAATGTAAGTCAAATCAGGTTTTACTAGATAAATAGCATTGTAAGTTAACTATTAAGCATCTAATACGATCTTTGTTTAGGAATACCATAAAGAACATTTATTTTTAGTTTCTTGCGAAATACTCCCAGACGAAACCAGACTAGAGAGACATACATCAACTATTAATGCATTAAATATGTATTTATTTTACATATATGCATATTTTTTATGTTTAGTTAAGGTAACGTTTGTCGTTTCGACGAAAGATTTGACCTTTCTTTGGGTCCCACCGCGCTCGCCCTGAGTCCGTAAAATTTATATTGTCGGAAGTAAATCAAATAAAACGAAGATTTGCTTAGGAAATTTCTGGTGCTAAATCAAAGTGGTTGACCATTAAAATATTAATCGAGGATAAGTTCGTTAATGCGTATTTTAGCGTGTTTGAAACTATCACTTCTACTGTACATTACCGTTCAGTTTTTTACTCTTCCAATTACCTAAGAATAAATATTTTCATGCCTTTTAAAATTGCACTGTGCAGTGCTAATGTATTTTTAATGCTCTGAGTTTCTGTGTTTTCGAAAATATTTTTTACTATCCAACCCTCTCCACTAAAGCACTTAACATTTTTTGTTTGACTTCGAAAATCATCTACGTAACTATCAAAATCATTTTCTCTAACGGTAGATTACCTAAACGTAAAAAAGCCACGAAAGTGAAGGTAACTATTACACAACGTCAATTAACTTTTTTTTAAACACCACGGTCTCGTGCACACGAAAAGGTTTTAATATTTATACTTTCATTAGTTTGATGTTCTTCTATCGACAGCTTACAATATGCCGTCAAGTACCATTAAAATGGTCGGTAATATTTAATTGCATTGAACCCTGATGTTCTAATCTGTCCTTGATCAGACTAACGCGAAAGATCGAGATAACATTTTAAGGTAGTTTTATTTTTATCCACAAGGCTCGAATTTCTTTACACAGCTAGATAAGCTACCGCCGAAATCGAATAAGTAACGAGATTAAATCACGGTATCCACTATGTGTGTCAGTACTTTTATTTTGTCACCAAGTGGAAGAATTTTATTGATTACCAAATACAGAGTACTACTGGAATTACACTAATTAATA